CAGGTATAACGCTATTAAGTTATACTATATTATATTATAGTAGAAGTATACTTCTAAATACTTACTTAGCTTTACTATATATAGCTATATATATACTTATTTAGAAACTTATTAATTATAACTAAAGCTAATACTATAAGTTTTATATAGTTTTAAAGAGCTACTATAAAGTTTTAGAAAGTTACTATAAAGCTTAATATTAAAATAAAAGTATAGTTTTATTAGAGATAACTATAGTTAATAGTAAGTAACTAAAGTTTTAAACTATAGAATTTAAATTCTAAAAAGTATTTAAATATAGACTTAAATATTCTTGTTTTTTCCAACTTCTATATTCTAATATTTTATTTTTAATATATAGTAAGTTCTTATATAAAACTATATTATAAATATAGAGTAACTAGTTATAGAGAGCTCTATAGTTAGCTTAATAATAATAATAATAATAATAATAATTATAAATAATACGCTAATAGCTACTTATTAATATAGTAAAAATTATATTAAGCTTAGTATAGACTACTTTAGAAGTAGTTTTAAGTACTAAGTATAAACTATTATATAGTTAGTTAGCTTATTTAAGTTAAGCTTAAAAGAGCTTAGAAGTAAGTTAAGTAAAAAACTATTTATCTTTAAAGTTCTTTTTATTAGTACTCTTTTTATATAAGCTAAGATAAATATAAGTTAAGAAAATAAAAGCTTTACTTATAATTAGAATATAAGAGTAAAGTAATTATATAATATAGTTATAGCTTACAGCTTAAAAATTAATAAGTAAAATAAATACTTCTAGAATATCTTTAATAGTTTATTTAGTAGCTAGCTAGACTTTATTTATACTATTATTTAAGTTTTAGAATAAGTATAATAAGAAATAGTTATAAATATATAGTAGATACTAATAAAGTAGTAGATAATTAATTTAGTAACTTAAATAGCTTAAGGGATAACTATAAAGAAATTTAATAGACGTATAACTAATATAGTTACTTTAAATAATAGAAATACTACTAAGCTATAAGTATTTATAGCTACTTAGTAGTAATTATAATTATAATTATAATTATAATAGTACTTATACTTACTTTAGTAATAAAGTAATTACTATAATATATATAATACTGTTACTTAATCTAGTAGCTTATTATATAGGAGTAGAAGGTTAGTATTATAACGTTAGTAAAATAAGACATTTAAGTATATTTAAGCTTAACTACTTAAAATTTTCTTAATAACACTATAATATTATGCAATAACGCAATAACATAATAATATATAATATAGAAATACTATAGGCCCTATTCTTAAGGCCTAAGAGGGGAAGACGTTTCTTATATTAATTAGTAATAATATAATATAGTCTTATATAAAATTTTTATTATATAATATAATAAGCTTAAGCTCTTAGTACTATACTAAGTATTATTATTACTTTAAAAACTATAAAAGATAAGTATTATAAAGTTCTAATAGCTAAATACTTAATAAAAAATAAAGTACTTTAAAGATATATTATTTAAAGTTACTTATAATACTTATTAAGCTTAGTATTCTATTCTATTTTAATATCTTATATTTATTAAATATAGAAAATATAACTAATAAAGTATCTTAAATATAAAATACTAAAGCCTTTTTTATTTACTAGTCTTTTACTAAGTATCTATTAATAATTTTTAGAGTTTTTAGATCCTAGTATAGAAACTACTTTATAGTATTAAGCTATTATTAACTATAAAGATATAGTAGAGTACTTAATATAGCTAATATTATAGAATTTTATAACTAAACTGTACTATATTTATAAAAGTAGAAACTACTAAAAGCTAAATAGAAAGAGATAGATCTAATTACATATATCTACATACTATCTCTACGATTGTAATTCCGCTTCTATAAGGCTCTCTGCAACGCCTGGGTAGCTATATATTTGTAGACATTCTAATCCGGCCTTTTGCAGTATCCTTCGCCAATCCGATTCAGTTCTCTCATATACAGAGAGATGTGCTAACATCATCATGTCCATCGATGTGGCAGCAATAGTGGGCTTCTCTTCCGACAACACGATCTCGTTCAGCAACACCCGCGAGTACCCAGGCTTGAGTGCAGGTTTTAAGTTCTCGAGGATCTTGATTCCTTCCTCATCACTCCAATCATGTAGTATAGAATGGAGTGCATATGCCCTTGCGGCCTTGATTGGTTGCGGAGTGAAGAAATCGTGAGCCTTGCTGTCGAATGGCAATTTGTCCTTATCCTGGATACTAGCGATGACAGGTTCTAAGTCCTGGAGCACAGTCCTCCCAGGCTGTGCCTTGTACTGCGTCACGAACTGCTTGACATCATGTCCCCGGCCACCACCTACATCTACCAGCAACACTTCGTTGTTGGCAGGATTGAAGCCTTCGATCAGTCGGTCGGCCACTGGATAGAACCCTGGATCGAACCAGTTCGCCTTACCAGCCCGGTATGCTGACATGAAGTTACCGAATTCATCTAGATGGGGTGGGGTGGCCTCTAGCCATGGAAAGAATGGCAGCTGCGTTCCATGCGCCACTTGGAAAGGCCCATCCGTAGGCGAGGTCGGTGACTTGTATTCCGTCTTCTTAAAGTAGTCGGGAAAGCGATTGAATGACGGCCGTGCAACATCATAGCAGAAGTCGATACTTTTTTGGTAATTCTCTGCTGCAAGCCCATCGCTGAGGTTTGATCCGAGGAAACGGTCATTAGAGAAGGAGACAACCTTCATGGCGATAAGGTGACGCATGATCCGTCGTAGCAAAGTCGACTCAACGCCCGTTTTCCGTGCAAGATCATCAGCGCTGAGGCCAGCTTCGCCTGCATCCTTGAGATATTGGAAGAGCTTGACTTCAACGGCAATCTTGCAATGTGCAGATAATGCAGGCTTCGATACGATTAGCGCAATCGCCTCCATTCGGGGTTAGGCGACCAACCTCTGCCCAAAAACTTCTTTGTAGGAATTCACTGGGAATTTCGAGACTTGCTATGAGGTGTCTAGCAAGGTCGATTAAGTTCTCCCGTGAACCACTTTCGTTGCTTTCGAAAGCCTTGCCGGCCGACATGATGCGCTCGAGAATGATCGGAACTGATGTCGACATACTGCCTGCGTGTAGAATGATGAAGTCGATGTCTTTTGACCTTTATGGAAAAATCAAAGAGTCCAGACCCTTTATATAACAATCCCGTACGTACAGACCCCCTGGTAGAAGTCGTATGCCAGTGCGGCTGCTGTCGTCCTGTCGCGCCATGCGACGCTGCAGGTGTTCATGACTCGCACTATGTGTACGGCTTCCTCACTACCGCTTCAGTGACACAGCCGAGGGTACAAAAACGTTGTGTTGGCACATCAAAGCCACATCCACAAGGCGTCTTATGTCCAGCGCTGGCCGGCCCGAATAAGCGCGACTCTAAGTCAGAGATACCTACGTAGGTACTTGACGAGCTTACAGACAACTTGTTCAAATCATGGAGGGCCGCGCCTGTTACCATTCCATCCTTATCGCAATGTTGGATCGGCAAGGTTTGATCGGATCTGGATAGTTGGGTGACCTACATAGTATTTTTGTGGGGTGCGGGCTAGAGCGATGGCCCCAGGGACACGGCTTGGTCAAGGTTCCGCTACTGTATGAACATCCGAGAGAAGCCATGCACAGTACATAGCAACCTCTCTGGACACCATTATCCAGCACAATTGAGTAAAACCGAAGACATAGTTATAGCTTTGTTCATTTTGACAGAATGCTATCGTGAGTGAGGCGACCCTGCGGGTGGCATGGGGTATTGGGTAAATTTGCGCAGACGCAAACGGAGACATTCGTCCGAAGCAACTGTGCCACAATCTCACAGCATTCAGGATTCTCAAAGGATGAGACTAAACATCAATAAAGATTCTATGGATCATCCCTGTACTCTTCAACCAACGAAGTCAACAACTCTGCCGCTTCTTGGCTTGATGAAATAATGCAGGCCTTTCGATTTGAGGCACGATACATGGACACCGAATGAGCAGGTTCGTAATCCCTTTCCATGTTTCGTAATTTGTACCGTGGCCCTGGGAGTGATTGACCTCATCGTGTTGGTTTTCATCCCTTGACAAGAGTGCCATCCCAATATATATGCTCGCCTCGAGCTCTTCGTCGTATGTTCCTATAAATCGTCTGTCTGCATAGTGAAACTCAGCCGCGATTACCTTCCAATACTCACCAAAGTCTGAGTACTTTGTTTTCAGTTGCCTTGCCTTGCCTCCCTTTCCAATACGTAGAAGGCTCTGCAATGATGTCAGAGTCCGTGGATCCCACCGAGAACAGACAGACAGAGGTTCTGGTTGTAGCATGGGTCATGACTGGAGCTGCCGTTTTGACAGTGGGTATCAAGCTTTTTGCTCGAGTAAGGATAGTCCACGTCATTGGATGGGACGACTTCTTCATCTTTCTGTCACTGGTATGGAGTTGCTTCGCAACCTTTCCATCCAACAAGTCCAGATTCTCATAGTTCCAACAGATTTTCAGTGTCATCGCCTCATCGTTCGTACATTACGGAGTTCAATTGGGATTCGGCCAGCACACAGCAGTAGTGGCCGGAAAGCATGGCACCCAGCGACTGTTCCAGGGTGCTAAGGTTCAAATGCTCGGATATCGTAAGTTCGTCACAACGGTGGTTCTCTTCGAGCATTGTCTGAGCTGATATGTTTGCAGCTTTCAATATCGGTAGGTGACCTGCAACATATCATTACAGTTCCTCTCTCTAAGTAGCATGCGGTAGCTGCATTCAGTTTTCCAAACATATCTATCGCGATACTTGTTTGTCAAATTCTTCCCTTGAACCCACAGCGGACCATCGCCCTACATGCAATGGCGATCTTGCAGGTCATCTTCGCCATCATCACTATCGCCCTAGTGTTTGCACAATGTCAGCCAACTAGCAAGCTGTGGGAGAAAACCCTGCCAGGCTCATGCTGGAGTCCGGATATTGTCAACTACTTCTCTTACTGGCTTTGTGCATACACTACACTTACAGACATGGTTTTAGCAATTGTTCCATCACGCGCATTCTGGAATCTTCAGATGCCTCGTTTTACAAAGGCAGGACTGATTGCCATGATGAGCATGACCATGCTGTCCGCAGTCGTCACTATAGTGAAGGGAACATATCTACCACTTTTTACAGACACTACAGACCCATGTGAGTTCCTCAAGGGATGATGATAGGACAACACTAATCAATACGTAGTATGGAAACCCGTACCGCTCGTCCTGTGGGGCTTGTACGTCACATTCGTTCATCAAAACTGTGAAGCCTATGTACTAATTCTCTGGCAGGGTTGAACAAAACATCGTTATCATAGCTGCTTGCGTTCCCACTATGCGTCCTTTCTTTAATCGTGTTTGGAAACGCGGTCTCACATCGAGATCGGCCCCTCACTCAAGGTCCTTAGCTCTCGATCCCTTCTCGTCTGCAGCTGGAGAAAGGGAGCGATTGGGACGACAAAACAAATCAAACTCAGACCTTGCTCTTGTCGGCGCAGAAGTAGACATGCATACTCTCAACAAAGCGATAGATAAGGACGATGCAGCCAGTGGTGAAAGTCAGCGAGGAATTGTCCGAACAGTGGAAGTCAGAATGGATTGGAATGATAAGGGCATGTAGTAAGACATCATTAGTTGTAAGATGGTACCTTAAGTTTGCGCATTGTATGCACACCGCGTGCAGTTAGCATTTGCTAGAGCACTAGAGTGCTTATGTCTTGCTAAAGAGTTAAACTAAATACTAGCCCTTTGGAAAGGGCTAGGAATCGCGCCTCAATTTTTAGTTGCATGTAAGATGCGGGGTAACTAATCTGCAACGACGCGTATTTAATTGTGGAGATGTCCTCATGTTTCTGATGTAAGAGCACTTTGACAGGTTTTGCTCGCCCTTATCTTCCGTTCGTCACTCCCGCACTGGCTAGCTGTATCTGCAGATTGAGAGTCTGATGACATCGTGCCTCCAACCTTCCCAAATTGCAGGCACGCTGCAGTCTTACGGCTCTTGACACTGCGCTTTCATGGGGGCGGCGGGGCGTCGTGGCTTGCTAAGTCCGTCCGGCTGATGTGTAAGACAGCTGCATGTGAGACCAGCTGGATCTCGTCCACTAGGGATTGTAGCCCGGGCGAGAATCCAAGAAGACCATGGTATTCAGAAAGAAATGAGATGAGCTTCTGACGGAATACAATAAAGCTGGGCAACTGCTTCATCCGCCGGCTAAGTGACCTTGCCTGATCTCTGCTCAACCATCTCTTATCGACAATGAAGAACCTCTGGCTGGTAACCATACCTGCCGCCACGGTTGCTGTTAAAGCTTCGAACGATACGTTTTTACAATGTTTGGAGTCGGCTTGCGGTAACAACACCAACCTTTACTCCCTACCTGAAGACCCACTGTTCTTACAAGGGAACGTGACACCATACAATTTGGATTACGTCGATATTCCAGCTGCAATTATATCCCCAAAGACGCAACAGCAAGTATCGCAAGCTGTCAAGTGTGCGCATACAGCAGGAGTTGCAGTACAGGCGCGCAGTGGCGGCCATAGCTATGCGAACTATGGTAAGGCAAAGTCCACGAAGAAGACCCGTGGCAGTGGAGTTGCTAACAACTGCGTCACAATTAGGACTTGGAGGCTTCAACGGGTCCCTGGTAGTAGATATGAAGAATATGGGTGCTTTCAGTTACAATGAGACTGATCAGACGGCTACTTTTGGTCCAGTACGTCGCCTCCGAACATCAAACAGACTAGAAGACCCTGCGTTATTTCCTCAGCTGACTTGAACAACTTGTGTAGGGGAACCTTCTTGGAAACCTCTCGCAGAAGCTCCAACCCCTCGGGCGGGCTACAGCATACGGTGAAGTGGACGTCATCGGCTCAGGTGGACACATGACCATTGGCGGTCTCGGAACACTCAGTCGACAACTGGGACTGGCAACTGATCAGATTGTATCAGCGCAGTGCGTGGTCGCAAACGGTTCCATTGTGACAGCCAGCGCAAGCACGAACCCTGACCTGTTCTTCGCTATCCGAGGCGCTGGTTTCTCTTTCGCTATTATTACAGAGTTCACCATGAAGACTGCACCCGCGCCATCTGAGATTACCCAGTATGCGTATAAGATCACGGCCAGGGATACGACCTCTTTCACAAGCACATTCCAAGGTTGGCAAAGCCTCGTCTCGCAGCCCAATCTCAGCCGCCTGTTTTCCAGCACTGTCACTCTCAGCCAAGGCTCGATGATCATCAATGGGATCTTCTACGGGCCGCGATCTGAGTTCGATGCGCTAGGCACCAATTCTATCATGCCTACCAATAGCTCAGCCGTATCTGGGCAGAGCACCGTTGTCACGGTGCCATTCGTGGGCCTCGGCGATCCCACTCTTACAGCCACTGGCAGCTTCCCACTGCACTTTTACGCCAAGAGTGTCAAGACGACGAACAAGACACTGATGTCGAACGAAACCATTCAAATGATGTTTTCGTACATCAATGCGACAGAGAAAGGATCACCCGTGTGGCTCGTCATCTGGGATCTCGAAGGCGGCGCTATATCCGATGTTTCTCAGACGGCTACCGCATACTGGCACCGCGATGCGCTCTATTTCATGCAGAGCTACATCGTCAGTCTTACTGAACCCGTCAGCGATGTCTCCAAGAGCTTCTTGGCCGGCCTCAGCCTCCTGGTGCAGAGCGAGACGGGCGCAGATCAGAGTGCGTATCCAGGTTATGTCGACCCTGAGCTTGGGGAACCACAGCGGTCTTACTGGGGCTGCAACATGCCTCGTTTACAGACGGTCAAGGCGGCGCTCGATCCTGATAACGTCTTTCGCAATCCTCAGACTGTGTCGACTACCTATAATGCCTCAATGTGTCCGACTCAACAGTCTCCTCCACCGACTTCGGGCTCCGTGGCACCAGCGTATATGGGACAGTATACCCTGTTGTCTATAGTTGTGTTAGTGGTAGTTTTCTACTTGTGAACTTGAGCGATCTTTCAAATTCGGCTGGATATCCCGCACACAGTACTAGCAATGAGAAGTAGAGCTAGCACTCTAGTTCTTATGTGCGATAGTTGTCCTGAACATTGAGTATCCTTCCCATGAGCTTTTACACGTCCTAGGTCTGGCGTCGGCGCCGACATGTCTGCATGCGGCCGTCATCAAGGCTCTTTGTTTCAACATTGAATGCAAAGGCTTGAGGATGAAACGGGCGTAACCAATACCCGTTGTTGTGTTGCAGTATCGGCTTCTCTAGCCGTGGAGGGGTTCCACATAGTCTTGACGCGCTAAGGCAATCAAGCAGAAGCGATTTCCCGCCGTGCGCGGCTTAGCTGTATCAAGGCTGCACGCCAGCAGGCTTAACGCGTATCGACCAATGACAAGCTCAGACGATCGACGCGACACAGGCGCACGTCTCGGCTGGGACCCACTGCGCCTGTCCTCTTCCAATATCATGATGTACCTCGTTGCCGTTCGTGCCTTGCTACTGGGGCCGCTTAGGGAAGGCTGGATGGACTTGCGGCAAGCAGGCATGATGGTGCTTGCCCGATACGTGATGGAGATTAGAAGGATTGATAGCTTGGTTCGGAAGTCTGTTTGTGTCGATGGGTATTTCTCTTCTTCCTTCCCTCAACCGATCCACCCTCGCTGCGCTTTCTTTCTCCACGGCTCAGGCCTTCACTCGTTACTCACCGGCTCCGTCGCCGTTTGCTCTGTGCTTCTGGCGAGCTAGTGCATCTGCTCAACATCTGCGCAAAGCTATCGCGACCTGTTTTCTCCCGCAACCACACTCGAGGATCCAGCGGCCAAACCCATCACCTGTCGCAGTACTACAAGATGGTTCAGTTCCTATCGCTGAGCCTACTGGCAGGCTTGAGTGCTGTCGCGTCGGCTATTCCTACTATTGAGGTCAAGGGCTCCAAGTTCTTCACCAGCGAGGGCAATCAATTCTTCGTCAAGGGTACGAACGCCAGCTCGTGAAACCAAAACAGCTACTGATAAAAGCCGGCAGGTATCGCCTACCAACTGGTACCCGACGATCCCCTCATCGACGCGACGCAATGTGGTCTCGACTCTGCCCTCATGAAGACCATCGGCGCCAACTCGATCCGTGTCTACCATGTGGATCCTGATGCGGATCACACCGATTGCATGAAGACATTTGCTGACGCTGGAAGTACGTACACCGCACATATGAGATCAAGGCTGTGTCCATTAGGTTGTACTGGGGGCAGTGTATGCCTCTGGGGTACAGTTCGCTTCTAGCTACAACCTAGACATGATGAGCTTTTTAGACTCCATTGGCGCAAAGCAAGAGCTTTGTGGACACACGTCCTCCAAGGTGCATAAGGCTAACTCGTATTTGATAGTCTACATCTGGGTTGACCTGGACACGTTCGATACCCAAGTCGAGCAGAACACTCCTCGCTGGGAGACCGATCAACGCGACGCCTTTGCCAAGGTCATGGATGAGTTCCACCAGTACGACAACGTGGCTGGCTTTTTCATTGGCAACGAGGCTATTACCACTGCCAATGGCTCTGTTACCGCCCCTTACATCAAGGCCGCTGCCCGAGACATGAAGGCTTATCGCGATGAGAAGGGTTACCGCAATATCCCTATTGGGTACTCAGCTGCCGACATCGCATCTCTCCGACCTATGCTTCAGAACTATCTGGCCTGTGGTAGCAATGCGTCTGAGCGCCTAGACTTTTTCAGCCTGAATGCTTACTCTTGGTGTGGACAGAGTACGTACCAACAATCGGGTTATGACCAGCTGGAGAAGAACTCCGAGGATTTGCACATCCCAATCTTCATGTCGGAGACGGGTTGCAACACAGTGAGGCCCCGCGATTTCAAGGATCAGGAGGCGTTATTTGGGGAAATGTCCGATGTTTGGTCTGGAAGCATCATCTACGAATGGATCGAGGAGCAAAACGACTATGGACTCATCAGCTATGGCCCTCACGTCGACCCAGCCAGCCCTTCTGCGCCGCCGGATGGCTTCCCTCGCTCGGGTACGTTCTGTGTAGCGCACTCTACGCATGCATCTAGACTAATGACTTCCTCAGGAAAGCCTACTCCAGTCGAACCTGACTTCCCCAACCTCTCTGCGGTGTGGGCAACACTCAACCCAACGGGCGTGAAGGCTTCAGAATACAACCCAACAAACTCGCCTGTCGCATGCCCAGACTACACTGCATCGGTCTGGGAGGTTGTTCCTACATCGCCACTTCCTACGCTGGGTCAGAAGCATGACTTCAACGGAACCCCTACATCTGCGGGCTCCAGCGCAACAGCGACTGGAGGTTCCGGTGCGCAAGCGTCTGGCTCATCTGGATCTGGTGGAGCAGAAACCTCCGGACCTGCCTCCACTGGTGCTGCTGTGGACAGCCTAGCCAAGGAGCTCAAGGGCATGGGTGCTCTGTTCGCGGGTGTAGTTGCCATCTTCGCCTTGCTTTGAGTGCGTCACATATGACATCTAGAGGCATCTCCCCTGCGACTTGAACGTGGACAATTCTTTTGGTGAGGCATACGCGAGATACACGATAGCAAGTTTCGTTGTACATATCTTGAACCATAGATTTTTGGCATGACATTGTACGTATGATACGGGATTATGGATTGACGAAAAATGATTTTCAGTTGTACACGTTTCAAGAATATTAGTTGCAATCATCGCAGTGTGTTCCAGTTCAGTACCAATCCATCAAGCACCGCACATGGCTCACGCATGGATGAGACAACCCTAAACTTTGGCAGGCTCAAGTATAATCATATCAACAGTGGGGACAGGTGATCGTAGTAGTCATGGTGCAAGGTTCGCATTGAAGGACTGGGCGCCAATTAAGTACAACCCGATCGCCAGCACAGGGCTTTCCCCCATACCTCAAAGAAGCATGGATATCTTTCCCTCGTAAGCGCGTAGCATTGATCATATCCATCAAGACGACCCTCTCCACTGAAAGCATGGTATTCTTGAGTTTTTGTCAAATGGTCTTATTTTTTTCCTTTTCCTTTCCCTACTCCTACGCCGACATGCCAGTGGTTGTCAAAGACAGGGTATGTAAGAGAAGAATTGACGAAGATGCTCAAGATGATATCTACCACTGGGTAGTGGTAGCAGGGGCAGCAGTCTCAGCACCCCAGCCCTCGTTGCCAGTCTGAGCCTCGCCAGACGCAGCCCAGTCGGCGGTGTCAGCGTCCCAGCTGGTGCCGGGGGCAGCGGCGGCCTGGGCAGTGAAAGCACCAGCAGATGCGCCGGAGACCTCCCACTCGCTAGTGAAGCCATCAGCGACGGCACCAGGGCCAACCTCGTCGGCACCAGGGACCTTAGCCTCCTCAACACCAGCGCTGTCCTTGTTCTCCTCAGCCTCGGGGTCGCGGTAGAAGTACAAGTCAGTCATGACGTCCCACTCGGTCTCGCGGTTGGCGAGGGTGCCGCGGAGGCGGAGGACCTCACGGGCAAGCATCCACCAGATCAAACCGATGGCGTGGCGACCCTTGTTGTTGGTGGGGATGGCAACATCGACGTACTCGGTAGGTGAGTCTCCGTCACAGAGGGCCTGTCACATGTTAGTCCGCCTGCTTCAGCCGCTGGTTCCACGCGTTTTCATGCTTACAATGACGGGGATGTTGACGTAGGAAGCCTCCTTGATGGCCTGGGCGTCGGTGCGGGGGTCGGTGACGATAACCAGGCGGGGCTCCCTGAAGGAACGGGTGATGTAGTTGGTGAAGTTACCGGGGGTGAAACGACCAGCGATGGCGGTGGCACCGGTGTGCGATGCGAACTTGAGGACGGCACGCTGTCCGTAGGGACGAGCAGAGATGACACAGACTACACGGTGTCAGCCAAATTCCATTTTCGCACATGGTCGCATCTTTCAAGATTGTCGGTCTCGAATTGCGCGAGCAAACGTACTGTCGGCCGGGTTGTCAATGGCGACGATGATGCGCGCGGCAAGGACAATCTTCTCCCAGGTCTTGCCAATGTTCAAGACGTTGACACCGTCGGGCCTGGTCTTCCACAGGTATGGCTCCATGTGAACCTGGAGGTTCTTGCTGCCGAGATGGCACTGAGCAGCCAGGAGCATCTCAATGTCCTGCTGGGTGGGGTTGAAGATGGCGGGAAGGTTGGAAGGAGCCATTTTGACGGTTTGGCGCTGTACAAGCTGGTTGGTATAGAGAAGTTGTCGTGTTGCGTGCGAGGGAACTTTTGGTGGAGGGACTTGGACGATGCGAATATCCTGTGGGAACGGCTAGTCCCCAACGGGCTTCGCGTCACAGTGCCGCCGGCATCGGCGAAACCAGTCGCCGGTGATGGATCCGCAAAAGATTCGAGGGTGATGGCAGCGAGTGTGTAGCCAGCAATGCCGCCGCGAATACCAGCTTTGTCGTGCCTGCGGGCGCCGACATGTACGTACGATAGAACATTTTCCAGTGCCTCGTACTGACATGGCCCTCCAGCCTCATCCGTGTCATACCAACTCACCCTGCCCATTCGAACTTTCGCCTCCACATCGCGAGTTCACGCCGAATCAATTGAGCGACAGAAGAAGCGCCTGGCCAATGACCCATACATAGTCGCCCAGCGGAACAGAAAGAAGGCTGCCAACCTCACGCGCCGCGCTGAGCTCGAACAAGGCCGGGTTGCCAGTCTTGGAGACCCTGTCCGTGGCGTTTCCACACCATTCGTGCAGTCGTTCGATACTGGAAAGCCGATTGAACATGAACAAGGCAAAGACGTACCAAAGGACCAGAAGCACCTCAACTATGCTTTCGATCCCGAAACCGTTTACCAGCAGCTCCAGAAGAGCCAAGAATTAGCTGTGCCGCTGAGTGACGTTGAAGAGCACACCACACCTGCATCTACCCGATGGGGCAGTGACATATATGGTGGAAGGATAACGAAAATTGAAAAATCGGCTGAGGAGATTGAAGAGCAAAACAAGAAGGATCATGCCCGAGCTGCTGAGGCCATCGCCCGCATTACGGCCCTTGAAAACGGGTCGAGCAAAGATCGTATGCGGGTGAACATCTCACGTTGTATCGAGACATTTGGACGCCACAAGACCGACAAAATATTTCCACCCAAGGCCCCATCGCTGAGTCGGTCTGGTGCCGATGAAACGCGCGTTGTCCGCCCAGAGACGAACAAAGCAGCAGCCGCAAAGCGAGTCGGACCCGATACAGGCTCTTCCGAAGTCCAAATTGCCATCTTGACCGCCAAGATCAAAACCCTGGCAGATTTCTTACAGTCAAGAGGAAAGGGCGACAAGCACAACAAGCGAAACCTGCGGCTACTGGTGCACAGGAGGCAGAAGTTGTTACAGTATCTGAGAAGGAAGGAAAGAGGTGGCCCGAGGTGGCAGCATTGCATTGAAACGCTTGGGTTGACTGAGGGCACCTGGAGAGGCGAGATATCCTTGTGAGAGCATGATGATGAGTGCAGTGTACTTGTGGATAAACCTTGTAGAACAACTTTCGACTCTGTGTGAACATAGCATGCCTGTCTATCACAGCGTTCACGTCCACATTTTGCTGGCATGGACGCCATCGCACAAATGTCTTGTGACTTGTCGAAGCGCCTTTTGCAGTGACCCACGAACAGGTGAGATGGATCGAATTATTCCATCGTTTGTTTAACGGCATCCCCACTAGCCTATCTTAGGCAAGCTTAGTCCTGCATTCTTTCATTCGGCTCATGGCTAGCAAGGGCGTTTTTACGCGAAGGATGTTAGTAAAGGGCGTAATCACACCGAACCCATCATTGCAAGTCATTATCTACCTATCGACATATCTCCCACTCAAGGTCTGCCAAGTTGTTCAGTTCAAAGAACTTTGCAATCACTACTTCACCACAAGCTAAATTACGTATACTTGAACCCCTCGAGACGTCCTTCCTACCATAACCAGAATAGTTAAAAGCATGTCGACAAGGCCCCCGCCTCGGGCTGACCCATGGTCTAGTCAGCGGCTGCACTACCGTGCTATACGCCCAAGTGACATATCAGTCTTCCACGCCATAAGCGCTGATCACTCTGGTTTCGCAAACAGTAACTTCAACAATATCAAACTACCTAGTACTTCCGATTCGGAATCGTTCATGAAAGGGCTGCTCGACGACTGCCTCCTGGGTGCCATCATCTGGCTGCCCCACACAACGGAAACGAACCTCATGAACGAGGAGGAACGATCACAAGACTTTGCGCAACGAAGGAAGAATGGAGAAGTGGTCGACGAACAGCTTGGTACTGCCGTTGGCGAGCTCCACATGCATGCGCTGCCAATGCACAAACAACATCACCGGAACACCGAGATTGGACTTGATATCCTACCGCCATACCAAGGCAAAGGTTATGGTTCTGAAGCCATCAATTGGGCACTTAATTATGCATTCAAACGTGCAGGTCTGCACCGAGTCAAAGTCCGAGCCTTCACCTACAACGAAGGTGCTGTACGGTTGTATGAGAAGTTGGGATTTGTGCTTGAAGGGAGAGAGAGAGAGAGCGTGTGGTACGAGGGACAGTGGTGGGATGTGGTAATCTTTGTTATGCTAGAGAGAGAATGGCAGAGACTCAGTAGCGGATAGTGAACAAAAGCTACTTATGCACAGAACTATAGCTGTGATCCATGATTAGACGATAATGGCTGGGGGTTAAACTAGTTGCCGATAGTCTATATGGATCTTCCCGTCCGCTCAGGACATACCGTACTGCAACCCCTCCATATCTGTAGCTCTGATGACCATCGTAGCGTTATTGGCCCTTCTCTCCGCAGCGTCATAAAGCGCCTGTATATCTTGCTTCCACATTGTCTCGTTCATGCGGATAATCTTCCTGTCGTAAGTCATCATTCCGTTGACTTCCCCCTCCACGTCTGTGGTCTGTGTCCAAACGCCTCCTGAGCATGCGAATAGATCAATTTGCTCGCGCAGTTGCACTAGTAAGTCGTGACAACGATAGTTCCACCATCCGGTCCCATTGGTGAGTTCGTATGCAGTTTGGCTACTCAGCTCTTTGTACCAGGCGTGGTCAAAGTTATTTTCCACAAGTTGGGTTCCAATGCCACCGAACTCGCCTTGAAGGCCAATGCGCGAGCTATCGTAGGCAGAATCATAGCCGCTACCTTGGTTAGACCAGAATGGCGTTCCGCATTGGGGTGTGGAGTAATGGTGATTATCGTCAAAGTCACCTGCTCTGTGGTCGGTCCAGCCGCTGACAGCATTGACTAGACGAGTAGGATCAATCTTCCGGACCATATCCGTCAAATTGAACTCGGGCCACGGGGGGCCATCAGTAGCTTGGCCCCATTCTTCGTTGTAGATTGTCCAAGCAAATATACTAGGGTACGACTTCAACTGCTCGACCATCAAGCCCAGCTCCCGGTCAAACTCTGCTTGCGCGGCTTCGCCTGCTAAGCGCTTGCTGCCACATGCACCGTCTGGCAAGTCTGGTCGCAGCGAAGGCATGTCTTGAATGACCAACATTCCCATCTCGTCGCAAGCTCTGTAGAAGAGCGCCGGTTCTACTTTGATATGTTTACGTACCATGTTGTAGCCGACATTTTTCAGTACCTTGAGATCGTACACCATGGCTTCTACGCTTGGAGGTGTGTAAATTCCGTCTGGCCAGTAGCCTTGATCCAGAGTGCCAAAGGGAAAAATGAATTGTCCGTTTAGAAGCGGGCGCTGGACACCGTTGATGGCACCTCGGGAAACAGTCCTAAATCCAGTGTAGCTCTGGACAGTATCACTACCCATCTTAACCGTGATGTTATACAAGACCGGGCTGTTTGGAGTCCATAGCTCCGGTGAGTTAACAGTGAACGTAAATGAGGATCCACTTGTACCCGTCGCTGTCGCCTTAGCGTCATTAGAGTTCAGTTCATGAACCGTGATCTCGTATGCAGTGCTCGTAGAGTTGGCGCTACTATGCACAAATACATTCACTTCGTCATGTTAGCCATGGCATATGTGAAAACATGCTTTGCATTTACCATTGCCGTTCATGTCTCCTGTCAGATCGAGTTTGGAGATGTGCTCTTTCGGTGTTGATTCAAGCCAGACGGTTTGCCAGATGCCTAGATATACGTGTCCGAAGTCAGTGTATGTCCCACGTGCAGTTCGTACGGTGATAATTCTCACCACTGCAAGGCGTATACCAGATCATTCCGCCTCGGTTCAAGGTTTGCTTTCCGATTGGTATCTGAACATCATCCACATCTGTCGGATCAAAGGAATATACCAGTCTGCATTATCATCAGCTTTGTTCTCAACCCCTGAGCGGGTAAACTCACAGCTCATTCGTCCCGTTCATGTTCAAATACGGTGTCACATCTACACTAAACTCAAAGTATCCACCTCTATGGAAACCAGCTTTCTGGCTATTGACAAAGATGGTGGCTTCATAATCAACAGCGCCAAAGTTCAGAATGACACTGTTGTCACTGGGCCAAGACGTGGGCACTTCGAACATGGTCTGGTACCAACTCCACATGCGACCCTTACCTGTCACACCTTGGCAGCGTCAGTACCGTGTCCAGTAAGAATCCTGAGCGGACTGACCTGAAAGAGCACTCTCGAGACAGAAGGGGACTAGAACAGGACTTTCAAGTGTCTGTCCAAACGGAGGCGATGCGTCTGATCCATTGGTGGTATTTCTGTAACCCCAAACACCATTGAGGTTTTTCCAGTCAGGCCGTTGGAGGCGTGGTCGTGGGTATTCAGGCCATGGATTGGTTCCCACTATATCTGTCCAGTCTGTCTTCAAAGGGGTGTATCCGACCTTGTATTCCGTGCCATTGCTTTGACGTGAATAGATCTTTTTGTCGGTATGAGCGGTAGAGGCCAATGCTAAGAAGCTCGCGAGTATACCAAAATTAAGTTGCATATTGGCAGGACCGGTCACCAGGTGCGCATCCGGGTTGCGTTGAAGAATCGTCAAGATTGACAAGATGATGACGCCTTTTAAGCTTTCCAGCAACGAGGTGACTAATAGCTGCATAGTTCAATGGTACCTAGGTACCTGTGATGGCTGCGTAGCTGCATATCGATAATCTTGGCTCTGGGGATAGCGGCGGGATGATCCTGGTGGCTGTACACCTTGGACGATCACTGCAGTATTGGCATAGCTCGGCGCAGGTTTGCACATGCCAAAATAGTCGCGTGGCTGGACCGGCTGATCAGATACATGACTCCTGGCAAGTAGTTACAGTATGTCCAAGAGTTACTGCATGAGCATGTTGGCTCGAACACAGCAAGGCTGATAGTGCGAAACCACGACATGATTTTAGAGCAACGCAGTAGATGCATACCGGGTTGCATGTCTACCTGCCGGATGTCAGATGCAGAGGAAGTACTGATCAGCTGCGATCTGCGTCTTGGCTGTCAGACCGATGGATTCCCCGCACCATTCGGATCAAATGGGGCCGGATTGTGATTTCGAACCACTCAACAACGACCAGAAGTCAAGTGCAATATCCAGGCTACGCACTACAATGTGTCGAAAAGTGTGAGTATAAGAATCTTTGGGTTTTCAAGTGGACGTCTGCAAAACCGACTGACGTATGCCGAGCTTCTAGCATTGTTGTGTTAATGCTGAGACCTGCGCAAGTGACCTCAATATACTAGCGATGGACTATTCCATAAGGAGTGCAACAGGATCAGGGTTGAGCAGCATGGCCTGGGGTTGGGGTCGGGGTCACTAACAGTGCAGCCTTGAGTTCAGAGTAGATGCAACTAAGCGGGATACCGGGAGGCCCCGCTTCGGCAACTTTGGCTGATCAGAGTCAACCCGTGATGGTTTTGTGTGTGCAAAGCCGATGCTCAAAAGATCACTCGGAGAGACAGTATCTCAGCGTTTTCGTTGTTGGTGTGGATTAAGCATTCTTGCGCTATAGTGTAGTAAGGGTAGAAAGTACGCGTGTGGAACATGGGGTATGCACACGTCCGCGGAAGCACGACAATCCCTGCATCATAGCTCACCAAAGCCTTGTGTTTTCAGCAGCCACGATCCACGTGCATACCCCTCCTTCGCACAACAGCATTGTTTTCCTCGACGATTGCCTTCTTGATCCTGCTTTTCGGGTCACCTTGCGGTCCTGGGGTGAGTACTGCCACGTGCAGCCCAGGCTTGCCAATGTGTAGAACCCCGCAATCTCGCAAAGCACGTAGGGGGCCTAGCTATCTCAAGCTACCGATCATGCAATCGAGTGTTGAAGGGGATGCCTTCCTGAGCCTGATGCTGAGGCCAGACTTCTATCGAATCTCACGGCAACAGCATAAATGGCTTAGACCACGACTTTCCCCTTGATGAAGTCGGCCTCAGGGGGCTAGAAGGGCGGGCAAACGATGGAGATGCAGGGGAACGTGGCGATATAGGCGAAGTGGGAGAGCCTGGAGGCATGAGCGCTTCTCTAGGCGGCTCATAAGATTTGCCAACGTGGCCAGGGGCGATTATGGGCTCTAACGTCTTTATCGAAGAGCTGTCGTCTTCCTCAATCCCATGTAAGGTGGTTCGGTCGGAATAAGAGTTCAGTATCGAGCTCACCCGGGTCGTGCTTGAGCGAATTGTATCCGTGTCCGAGGTACTTGAGCTCATCGAACTCATTGTCGACATCGTCATTAGCGATGCCCTGTCCGAACCGGAGTACGAAGACGTTGCAACGCCAACATCATGCTTGTGGGCGCCACAGTGGATATCAGGAATAGACGTATAGTTGAAAAGAATATCGAATATCTTGTCGCGAACGTCGCGCGCAGCAGGACGTCCTGTGGGCGCTCTGCTAATCATGCTTCGGATGATCTGCAAGATGTGAGGTACTGCACGGAATGCGTCATCGTCATGCTCGAACGAGGCCTTTTCTAGCAGATTTATCCAAGTCTCGACCTTGTCAAGATTGACATGATACGATGAGTCCGTCCGGGAATTCTTGCCGCCAGTGTTGGTCCTTTGTTTCGATGTGCGGTGCTTTACGAAATCGTGCGGTTTCTTCTTGAGCATGAACGTAATGATTTCCAAGAACACGCAACCAAGAGAGAAAATATCTGCCGTCTCGGATTCGTGTACTCGCGATCGTTTCTTTGGCATTGGCTTCTGTTTTGACTTCTTGAATCCGAAGTTAAATCCGGAGAAATCGGTTGTAGGAGCCTTGGTAAGCTTCTGACGTTGTGAGCCACTACTGCTCGATGATCCAGACGAGCTCTTGCTCATTATTGATGCATGTCGAGTACTCGGGACGACGGGTGACGGTGCAGGTCCATTTGGGTCGAACGGCCCTGCGCTGTTGTTTGCCTCCGGTGCGCTGTATATGTAGGCATCCATGGCATCGGGCTTTTTATCCTTTTGAAACATTTCTAGACTACCAATGTCGCTGAAGGCTATAGCGTTTTGTTCGTCAACAAGGATATTGGAAGGTCGAATAGCAGAATGGCAGAACCCGTTCTGATGCAGTGTTGCAATGGCATCCGCCAGACAATGCATCCAATTGAGCACTAGCCATCTTCGATCGGGCTTCGGTAGTTTTTGATATTGGGTGGGATTACGGTGGTCGATGAATGTGCGAAGTGTATGGTGGCCTACGAAGTTGGTGACAATGTAGCCAACCCCTTTAGCGGTATACGAGGCCCAGATTGGCGCAAAGTGCTCATGCTCGACCATTCTAGCGCTCTCAACGTCCATCATGAAATCCTGCTCGAAAGCGTCCGGCATCTCTGCATCACCTAGCGCAAATCTTCTACGAACGAAGATGTCCTTGGGCTTTTTCGGGAGATGCATGCGCGACCAAGCTTGCAAGCTTACTGCCACAGGTAGCGACATGACATTTTCGACTGGAATCTCCTCATTAGGCGCATAGTCTATGTGTATGCCTTCTCGTAATTCTCTCAACAAGAACGTGAACTGGGTGTGATAGAAGCGAACATTGGCGTGATTATCGCGTCGGTTTGAGAGCGAAAGTTGTTCGATGTCGTCCATTTCGAGAGGTAGATCATCGTCGTCCCACGATCTGTCGACGACGGCGAAAATTCGATCCGCTTCGCCAATTTCTACCAATATCAGAAATAGTCGTCGCGCCTTCTCCAGTATCCATTCGATGTAGGTATCGTCGCTCAAGTCGCCGAAGCCTACAGACTGGGTGAGACGTTCCCTTTCTTTTGGCTGCAACCTCGAGGTCACATATTCGTGATTGACTTTCTCGTTGATTCGCTCTTCGGTCCACCATATCTGCTGGAGGGCGTGTTGCGGGGTGACCAGGCTGTGCCCCGCGTATCCGTAAATCAGTGCGTTAAGCGCAACGGTTTGATCGTTCACGACATTCGTTAACGTCCTGGCGCTCATCTTGTCGAGTGGTGGGACTAGGTAAAGCTCTTATGTTGCCGAATCGTGTGTGTTGGTACAAGACATGAGTCGCGCGACCAGTAGTGAGCTGATGATCATCTCCAGTGATGTCAGTGGGAATAAGATTGGATGACGCGGACTGACGCGGAAGAATGGCTTTCAGGCTTCAGCCTTCAGCAAGTAAGACGATACTGTTGTTAGGCGTCAGCGGGGCCAGAAACATCGGCTTTTGATTGTGGTACAGAATTTGATCCGCCTCTCGGAACGCTTCTAGTTGTGGCAAGCGGCATGGCGACGAATACATGGCTTCGGGTCGCCGCCCAGAAGCCAATCACCAGGAGCATAGCAATAGAAGGCGCATGCTCCAGCGCCGTTGGCATAGGGCGAGGTAGGGCCTTTTGCCTCGAAAGGTCTGCGTGGCCCCGAAAGCGGCCGCCATGTGCAATGTGACCAGGGTGTTTCCAGGCGGGAGGTTGATAAGACATGGTGCAACAAGCGAATTACAGACGCAGGGAGACGGATGCTAAACTAGCATGCCAGTGACTTTTGCGGAGGGCCGTTCCTGGAGCGGGGCGGCATCGCGTCTAGCAATGAGCGGTGCCGGGCTTTCTGCACGCCAACCATACCCAAGGGCGGCTAATACGTGACACTCTGTGATGGGTTTCTCATCTGGTCTTGTCCAAGCATTTTACGAGGGGTAAGAGACGTCGCAAGAATCAAGGGGTGGGCATGCTCCACTTCAGGCCTATCGCATATCGCACTCTTGCGGAAGCTGATCGTGCTGACAGAGGAAGGATCAGCACCTAGATGCGGCTCCATTTTGCATCACCCGATGCTCATGGCGCGATACCGCCTGCATTTGCTATCATGCAGTGGTATCATGCAGGTGACAGACGGCGACTGGAGATAGGACACAGCCGGTTGGGTACTCACAACCGAGGCTACACAAACTACCAACTCAACAGGTAAGATGAGAAAATGCAGTTGCTAGATGAAGGCAGATTGCGGCATAGCATTAGCTATGAAGGCTGTGCGGCAGCATCTCGGCTGGATGGTAACACCACCCATCATAGCTGGGTGGCTAGCAAGCGAAAACGGCGCAATGACTCGCGACCACGCGACTGAGGCCTCAGCTGGGGCAGCCTAGACGCAACCAGGCGGCAGTACGGAACAAGGCACAGCAGAGCGCGGCATCACACAAACAGCTGTCGGTCGCCATCCTCTAGAATATTGACATAGTTCCAGCATTGACTATCCTTTCGAGACGAAGTAGTCGAAACTGCTTAAGGGGGGCCGTCACTTGAGTTGGCAAGGCCGCTCGAGATGGTGGCAGGCTGCGCACACGAAGACCCAATTCACTTTCAGAGCACGGCCGACCCCACGCCTTGCACGCTTGACAGTTCGTCCACATTTGTGGCGACTACCACCTTGGACATTTCTGGATGGCTACTGGATTTGGTAGGAGCTCCCGATTCCCACGTGCGCTGTCGGTTGTCGAATCGAGTAGAGTAATGATCGCCCACCATACCGCTGCTAGTTATCCGACGATCGAAATACTTTCTGGGCGGTTCCAACGGCCGTACGACGTGAGCATAAACTCGATTGACTTGAACATGTCTGATAAGTCTTTCACAGATGTCGCTTCATCACGTTGCTCTACTGTGAGGCATCAACGACACACGTGCCGTTGTGGCAGTGACACTTAGTCAATTCCACCGAGCCGTTCTCGGACGTTCTAGTCCCTTGCACCTTCAAGCTATCTTTCAATGCTCAAGCAGCAGGATCGATAGTGAGAAATATGTTTCCCTCGCTCGGGGCTGAAGCGACCTGGCTACCTCCTGGATGAGTCCCGTTTGCCCACACGATGAGACCCCCATTATCTCCAGCAACTTCTAAACGGCTACCAGCAAAAGGATCCCCAAAGACGGTACTGAGGTCGTACCAGACCGAAGCACCATCCAGGTTATATGCCCATACCTGCTGAGGGGCGCCTGTGTACAGACCATCCCCGGTCTTCGTAATTTTGATAGCAATACCTCCAGACTTCTCATCGCGACGCATTTGTTCCCAGTAGATACCACCTGGAATCATCAGCTAGGGTTTGAGTCAAAACCTGTGTTGGTACCTACCAGCCTTAATATCATGACGGGGACCGACTGAGCCGCCAACAGACCACACGTAAACAGGCTCTTTTGAATTGTTTAGTACGACAGCGATACCAACAGCTCCAGCTGAGGCCGTCAATGCCAAGAACTGTGGAATCATGAAGCGCATGCTGTGCAATATGTTCAGAGCGAGTGTGGTGCAATCGAGTTGACTGTAACGACGGGAGTTATGGAAACGATGCCTTCCCAGCGGAGCGATGGATCGTCACGAAGGCTGCATTGCTGCATCTTATACTGTGTCTTAGCTGCCTTTAAGGTTCTCAAAAGAACGATACCGCTAAGTCGCAAGTCATCGTGCCAGCATTGACTATGGGCCCACTCCTTAGCTGACCAACTCACAAATCCATGTCCGGGATGACAGATTCGAGCACCAGTATTGCCAGACCAATCGTGAGTACTGTTCCTGACGACTAAACTTGCTTGGCAGATCCGCCAGCATGTATATTGTGGTTCTGTATTGCGTTCGGATAATTTCAATACTCCGATAGATTGCCAACACCTTGCCGTGCGCTGCCAGCAGAGCAGAGGCAATACATTTAATATGGCTATTCACGTTGACCATGCGGGCATGGGTGTTGACCTGTATACTAAGTATCGGTCGATACGTGCAAGACCATTGCGAAAAGAAGCTCGTAAGACTGTTCAAGGCTTCAAATCTGTTAATCCCTGTTCACTGGTTGTGATAGGAAAGTCGAATGGAGATGAACTTCAGCAGGATGAGTACCGAAGTCCAAACATTAGAGTACTTTGCAAAAGTTCAGAGAGTGACGACTAAGTTACAAACCGTTCTGAGAGCTGGACTCTACAGGCTTTTTCTATAGAATTTTCGTCTTGATCATTACCGAAATCGCTGCACGTGAACCTTATTAACGCCTTTCCTGTCTCTACACTTTTGAGTCATATTCTCTTTCTACCTTGCCGCTTTATCAAAATTCTAGTACATGAGCAAATTGATGCTTCAATGTACAATCGTCAGAAGTTTCTTCATAACGTTAGGTCATTCTTCATGTACCATCACCGTCATGGCTGCACAGATTTGATGCCAAGATTGTTAAAGTTTTTGTGGAACATCGGGTTCAACAACGACAGGTAAGGTACTTCCTCACGTGGTGAAATCGTGAAGTCGTACCTCTCAACATGTGTGCATAGTTGACGGCGACCGGCCTTGGCTTATCACCACTGCAACTGGTCATTGCGTGACGCGTTTTTGTACAATCATCTATTCGTTTTGTGCTCAACACAAGTTGTTACTTCGCTACAAGTCTTCGAAACACGGTTGAATGCGCCAACACATAACGTATCGGCTTTCTACTCATTCGTTCCATGCGTTCCCAGAGATCAGTGCTGGTGGGAGGGTAGCATCGAGCCCATCATAACATGTAGCTGATGCAACAACAACTGTCACACTAAGAATCAAGTATCTGGCGCATAACTCAAGGCACCGGCGTTTCTACGTTTGTGATTTGGTTTTCGCTGCTTCGCCTCAACAGCTGCGTGTTTGACGCAAGCAGCCTTGCGCGTAGCAGCTGTACGCGAACTCCACTCCGCTATTTTGCGTTAGATAGAGAACGCCTGATTCTGACGTAGCCCACTCACAGCAGTCGTCAGCGGCACATACGACAGCTGCACGGGGCTGAGGGCTAGATTTCGATAGCGCTTTGTTACCTGGAGTAGTCTAAGTTTATCGCTATGGGCGCATAATCTCCATTTATATAACATGTCTTCGAGGAACAGTTCTCCAGTTGCTCAGTCGTCGACAACTTTCGCAAACCACAACATATCTACACGATGGCCTCCAAGGGCGAAGACTGCGATTGCCCAACCCAGGCTCTATGGACATTCCCAGCGCCGGGCGACAAATCTCTGATGCCTGACAAGAATCCTCAGAGCTCTAGCTTCTTGGTCGAGCAATACCTTGAAACATCAGCTCATCATCCGCCTACTTCAGGCTTTGGTGCTACTCCCCTGTTCGTAAACGACGTCGTCGAGCTGACATGGCCTGGGGATTTTGATGTTCCTTTTGCGTTGCATCGAAATCTCTACTGCAAACCCTGCCAGCAGAAGATTAGGGATCAGAGTAGTCAGGAACAGTTTGACTGGGAGTCTTGTTGTAAGTTCATCTCGCTGCATGACTTGGATTACCAAGCATTCTCTCTGATGTTTCCAATGACATGAATTTGACCATGGTGTCAGACGAGAGGCCGAACCATGGGGGAATATGGTCTACAAGTTTCGACGTAATGGGATCGGGTATGGTCAAAGTGCCAGTCAAATTTGATTTCACTGCAGAAACGGATACGATGGTCTGCGCGTTTGGGTTCCCTGGAACGATGGAAGGCGGTCTTTCGCAAGCCTTTCCCGTCATCAACAAGACGCCACCACAAGACAGGGGAAGGCGCGCTTTCACGTCTGACGCTCCTCGAGGGCTGCCATATGAAGCTGACGAGGCGAAGCCATCGAGCTTGTACATGGTTGGTGGCATGGTTGTCCTTGGGCTTTGTATGATGTTCTTTGCTCGAATCCTCTGGCAAAGGAGGAAGCAAAGGAATGCGCTGCAAATCCTCCGGGTTGGCACTGAACAAGGCGGTCTTGTAGACGAGGCAAAGACTACAAGATACACCGACGACTTGTAAGCTATTACATGCTCGAGCTAGTTGGTCCGCAATGCGTCCAAGACGCCTGCGGGACACGGCCTTGGCGATGATAGTGATGCACGGCAATACAACTGTTTGGATATGCAGCTATGCAAATGAGTGTGATGAGAGATGCAAATGAGTGTGATGAGAGATGAGATGGGAAGAAGCAGGCTAAAACTAGCGGTGCAAGTGTGGGGACAGACTAGCTGCGGGAGGACGGCAGGCGGAGCATCCCAATCCAGACCGGCCGGCGTTGCGAGTTGACGTGAACACCCACCAACTCTCAGGCTCAGCAAACGACAGCCATTCTATCTTTTTTTGCGCGTCTTCTTGGCCTCGGCAGCGTTCGCAGTCTTTGCTTGCTTGCTTTGCGTGTCTTTGTTTTTCTGCTTCCGAGCCTGCATGCTGGAGGTGGACGCGTGGTAAAATGGCGTCCCCTATGCTCGAGAGTCGTATCGAGCCTCACAAGAAGGCGCACTTCAGCCTGCACATCAGCGACCGCATAGGCAGCAGCGACGATGCTCTCGGAGAACTCAGCAGCGTCAAATGTGAGTCCTGGCCGCCATTTCCCTCGTCCATGGCCGCTGGCTGATGCGCAGCGTAGACAACCACAAACCCTCGCAAACGACGGAATCGCGCTCTACAACGCTGACACCGCCCGCCTCGGCCAACCTCTACAGGCTCCGCATTGACGACACGAGCAGTTCGGGCGACAAGGACGTCTTCACCTTCACCGGCCAAAAGTCACAACTGAAGAAGTCCTATGTCCTCGTCTTCGATGCCGCGAACCAGCAGGCCACGCTTGAGCCTCTTTCCAGCAGCTACACGTTCAACCTCGCCACCAGGAACGGCAAAGACGTGTCGTCGCAGCACGCCAAGATATATCCCAAGAAGCTCAAGGACGATGCCCAAGACAAACACGACCAAGAGGACCTGTTTGGCGAGGCAGCAGCCGACGACCAGGGAGGCGATCCTGACGCGGACAACCCCTACGACTTCCGGCACTTCTTGAGCAAGGAGAAAGAGAAACGCGGCGACGAGTCGGAATATCGCTACGCGTCCTCGCCAGACTACAGGACAGGCACGGGCAGCGCCGTCAACACACCGCAGCTGGGCGCTCGCCCGACTGGGGCTGCGGCTCCCGCGCCGAAGCCCATGACTGCCCCGGGCCCCAAGAAGCGCAAGACAGCGACAGCGAACCCCATGGTGAAGCCCAAGAAGGCGCAAGCCACACCAGCCGTCCGCCTCCAACGCACCGCAACCGAGACTGCGTCAAAGCCCAAGGCCAAGTCTACGGCACCGCCAGCATCCAAGATCAAATCCTCCGAAGTCATACACTCGTCTGACGAATCCGACGGCGAAGTGGCTTCATCCCCCGCGCGCTCATCGCCCCCTCCTGACCAAGGCCAACAACACCACAGTGATGAAGAGGAAGATGATGATCGTCATGACGCAGAGGGTGAGTCAGATGACGACGGCGGTCTGGAGATTGAAGTGCCCGATGCCCGCCCACCACGACGCAACAACGGTGCCTTGGCCTCTCTAGGCCTTGGTCAGAGCCTCGGTGCAGGCTACTTGCGCTCACCCTCAAACGGTCCCATCTCCCTCGCTAGCGCAGCCAACAGCGACATCGAAGGCTCGCCAAACCCACACGCACGCAATCGCAACGCTCAAGATGAGATTGACTTTGGTGATCTGGGCGGCGACGACGCAGAAGGTGAAGACGACGATGACGATGACTACAATAACAGGGACATCGAGCCTATGGACATCGGCCCGCCTGCCCGACAAGAGACAACGGGCCACGATCGAAAGCCTAGCGATGTTGGTGAAGTCGCGGCAGCCGACGACGACGACGAAGATGATCTTGAGGCGCTGATGATGAGAGGCTTGGAGGGCGGAGATAGCAGCGAAGAGAGTGAAGAGGAGTGAAATCATCTTCGATTGATGGTTCTGTCAACTGTGCATCTGACGAGCCATCCTCCCAGCTCATCGCTTGTACGAGCAGATGCATGCTTGCTGGTCATAGCCAAATCACTTCGGATTGCCTTGCGAGCATGACACCTCCGTCTATGAGCCCCGAAGTCTCATCAGCTTGCTCTGTCGAGAGTGAAAGCGAACACTGCTTCTGTCGCTAGTGAAGACTCCAGCGATGTTGGTAGAGCCATTGGCTCAACCTTCACCAGCTGCGACACTACCCGCACTATCTTCTGTTTCTGCTGATAGTAGATTTCCCAATCTTTCTGCACAAGGTTGCAACGAGGTTAGCACCCGGTCCAGAAGCAAGCAATCACTTGGTAGCTCTCCACTTCATACTTCATTGGAAGCTTTCCACAGCTATGCCAAGGTACGAAGAAATACCCAGTCCACCACGTGGCAGAAGATGGAGCAACATGTTTCATGCACTTTGCATATACCATCGGCATGAGAGACGGTCTGTAGAAAGCTCATCAATCGGCACTCAAATTGCAAAATCGAGTCCCGCACCTATATAGCATTCGCGCTACTTCTAGCTACGGTTTACTATAGCGTTACTTAGTTTGTTAAGCCAGCGTGGGAGCTAGGAGGCTAGTAGCAGAGCGAGACATTACCGTCGACAAAGATTGTAAATTTTGTATAACTCCATGCCGTGCTTGAGCCAGGCCGATGACTGAGGAATTGATGAAGAAGCTGGTAGAGCTGCCCTAGCCATATCCCTCTACCCGTCAGTCACAGTATTGTAAGACGTAGTAACAACGTTGTCTTCGAACGAGGTGTATTGTGCTACTCCCTTGTGGATAACAAATCGGTGATGAGCTGCGTTGACTTTGATCAAAGCCGATATACCATTCGTTCTAGAGGGAGATCGGCTTCTAAAATCAGCATCCCCCACGTCGACGGTCCCTGCGCTAGCGTGCCGTAGCCCGAGGCTTGTGTGTACGCGTCGCCCGGCATCGTCGGCCATTTCCCGCCTCCTGGTGCGAACCTCAGCCAAATCGAACATTGGATTTCCTTCTTCTCTCGTTTTCGTTCAGCGTTACCATGCGTTCACTCGCTCTTCTTAGTCTCTCGGCCCTGGCTGCAGCGGCCATCACACCACAGAACATACTGGATCAGGATGAAGTCATCGAGAGGGAGGCGGGCCGGGAATACACCGTGAAACTGGGATGCGTCGGATGCCCTGTTCGTGCCTGGACGAGCCCTGAAAAGGCGGAATGGCTACATCCGTCTCCAAACAGCTCGCTAGTGGGTGTATCCCATCGCATGCAGGAGGCTGCGCTTGCTAACCATAAATCAGTTGCTCAAGTTCGACATGACCGAGTTCAGCGATGCGTTACTCCTCAACGGCAATCGCATCTTCCCCCTGGACCCCATGCCCCTTCATATCAATGCCGTACAGGTATCCACCAATATACAGCAGGACGAGATGGAATCCGGAGACAAAGACAACGACACATTGGAGCTAAACAAGCACAGGAGAATGATGTTTCCGCTCCAATACCAGCATACCATCTTTCGCGCTCAAAAGCCCGAACACTTGTGGCTTCAATTCAACGTGACTGGTCTGCCCTGGGGAGAAGGACCTGAGCCGATCAAGATGGGTCAGAAGGTCGTTCAGATATTATTACACAAGGAATATGATGAGCACCTTGTGTATGACAAGAACTTGGGCGGTCCCTACATCCTCTCCATCCAAGACGTACAAGTTGTTGAGGCAAAGAACAGAATGCAACCACCTAGGATGAAGTGTGGAAAGCTGGCTATGGTGCAAACGTCGTTCGATCCAAGCGAATGGGACGAGTATGGCAAAATTGGCACGTGGTCGAGAACCTGGAACTTCTTCGTTGGTAAGATACAGCTTGGAGGAAACACCCTGCTTCTTCCGCTCTTTGCACTGGTTGCGGCTAGCCTCATCATGGCTCGTCGCCTGTTTTTGCGAAGGCAGCAGGAAAATACAGGCACCGATTCGGATGCTGAGACTGCTTTGTTGGGCCGCGACGCACCTCCACCGTACGCAGACATCCCGGTGATCAAGATTGAAGAGTATGATTAGTTCGTTATGCGGGAAGGGCTGAAGGGCTGGAGCGCAATCAAACCAAGCGCGCCGGAGGCTCGCCCGTATCTCCGCGTCGCATTCGCCCTTTGTGCGCAAGCGGCATCTTGGCTGTATGTACGACATCAATCTCGGGTATTCGCTTTCTTGTTCATTCTTGTGCCCTCTTCATGCTTTTTATTACACCGACATTCTTGCTCCTGCACCCCTCGGGAGCACCCGGGTGAGAAGCGAGAGCGTTTCACAAGCTCGGTAGGTTTAGCCGACACATTGACCTGCTTGACCTCTATCAGGCATCGCCAGCTTGACCGGCTTTGCACTTTACTTTTCCCTTCTATCAGCGACCATGTCTGTCATCATCGAGCAATACAACAAGGAATGGCCGCAGCAATTCGAAAGTATCAAGTCGGAGTTGGAACATTACCTTCAGGACGTCGACTACCTATCGATCCAACACGTGGGTAGCACATCAGTGCCTGGCCTTGTCGCCAAACCTATCATCGATGTTGACATCATAGTTACTCGCGACAATGTCCAGCCTGCTATCGACACTCTCATAGCGAAGGCAAAGTTCGACTACCTTGGGGAACTGGGTATCGAGGACCGTCATGTCTTCAATGACCCCAACCAGTCTTTGCGCCATAACATCTATGTGTGCGTCGACGGTGTTGCACAAACGCGCAATCATCTCAGCTTACGTGACACGCTACGCTCAAACGTCGAGTTGAGGGATGAACTTGCACGTGTGAAGCTCGAACTTGCAGCCAAGACAAACAACATCATCGACTATATGATTGGCAAGGGAAATGTCATTCAGAAGATACTCAAAGCCTCTGGTGTTCTGACAAAGGAAGAACTCGCAGCAATCGCCCGCGCAAATATAAAAGGCGAACGCTTTGGCGCCATCAAAACACGTCGTTTGCTCCTCCGCGAATTCGTCATGAAGGATGAGGAAAGCTACTTTCTTCTCGAGGGAAACGAGCAAAACGCACGTTATCAGGAATGGCCCCCACGTACACGCCAAGAAGCTCGTCAGCTCGTCCTGGAGAACATTCGCAACCACAACGATGTGCCCCGGACCAAGTACGAACTTGCCGTCGAAAACCTCGACGAGCAGTTCATCGGCCGCGTAGGCGCCAAGACGTCTCAAGCAAACTCTGACTCCCTACCAGGAGAAACCACCATCAAGCCAGTCACCCGTGCCAACCTCTGGTTCTCCTTCTTGCCTTCTATGCAAGGTCAAGGTTTCGCAACCGAAGCCATGACGGCTTTCATTGATGCTCTGAAGGAACGACTGCAGGATCAAGGGAAACTAGAAATGGAGATTGAGTGTGATCCAAGGAACGAGGGAAGCTGGAAGTTGGCAGAAAGGCTGGGATTTGAAAGACACAGCCTCACGAAGGAGAAAGAGATGATCAAGGGGGAATGGGTGGATAGTCTGGTCATGAAGAAGGTCGTTGGGGACGTGTAAGTCATACTGTCTTTGGCATATATTTGGCAGAGAGAGGCTAATTTACGACAGGCCATATGCAGCAAAACATGTGAGAAGAGGCAGCAAAGTCAGCAGTAGTATGCGGCTGAGTGCGACGGAGCTATTCGAAAGCTGTCACTGAGAGAGTACTTGTTGCAGACCACCCATGGTGCAGGTTCTTGGCATCAAGGGGTCTTTCATTTATCCTAACGATCGACCTTCAAACCTTTTAAGGTCTAAACGACTTTGGTGCAAAACTTCGGACGCCGATTTCCTTATTCCAGATTCCCCTGTTATTCGTGTGTTGTGTCCAGGATTGCGTGAATGCAGATTACTACCAATGATCTTCCCGACATAACGGCATGAATAGCATTGTTAATGGCGTAAGACTTGGTCAACGCATCAAGCGAGTGTGTTAGGTTCAAGACCCAAAAAAAGACAATATGTACAACGAAACCACTTCCATCACAAGGCAGATCACAGTAATCCTCCAGCTCCGGGTTCTCTGACTATACCAATACAGCACGGTATCGTACCGACGTCTCTTCCGCAACCTTCCTCCAGTCTAATTCCATCTAGATCGGGGTCGCAGTGCTGATGTCGATCAACGTAATTGGCTCGATATTATTTGGTGTAGGTGCGGCGCCATCCGCATCTCCAGTGACGGTAGACAGAGAAAATGCCGTACTGAGATCGATCAATGTGATAGGTGTTAGGATATCACTTGTCTCTTGCGGCGTAGAAGCCTCACTGGGCTGCGTGATCAACGTAGTTGGTGCGAGACCATCGCCGGATGTCGCTGTCACGCTCGTTCCCGTGGTAGTGGTGTTGGGAAACGTTCCGTCATCTGTCGGGATGGCATTGATGGTGACGATCAAAGTCGTCGTTACGGTAATGGTGGCGGTGTCGGGACCATGCGACCAGGACTTCGTTCCCCAATGTGCGTCGCGTTTATAGACATTGGGTTTCAGGCGCTCGAGTGGTGCGACTAGTGCAAGAGTGGAAGGTATGATTGGAAAGAACAGGAGATATTTCATGGTGATGGTAGGGAAGATACGTATCTGGAAGAAAGCTGGAGCTGATGAGTGGTGAAGCAACGATACCATGTTGCGAAGACAAGATATATAGCCTTGCCGACCTCTATGCCACACGTAAGATCAAAGCTGGATGTCACCAAACTTGGGGTCCTGACGCGTGTACCTCCAGCATTTTCCGAATTAATCAAGCCACAGGAAACGCCCGCCGTGTACATCCCCTTGACGTCTTCTAGTATCCTGAGCACATCTCGGACAAGTTTTCAACAAGACTCATTGCTACTAGTACCACTTTATTCATGTCAGCCATTTCATGAGAAGGGTTTAACGATACACCAAAAGTTAGGCGATGTACTTGTATGATACAGGGGTTTCTTCCATCTCTCATATGCACTTGACCAATGCTCACTGTGGATAGCAAAAAGACATTTTGTAGATGTCAACAAACACTTTGAGTACTTCGGATAGGTCTCTCATACCACTGCCATTCTCGCGACATACGCGTCTCTTAGCTATATTCTGATAAATCAACAAAGCCATCAGGACTACGTATGCTGGCAGGCATCGGACTCTGCGTGCACCGGTATGTGCGTGCACGCTCTTGGCTCATACAGTCAGATTTACGGACGGAGGTCACGCAACGGACTTTTGGCGAAATCCGTACTCTGTGTGTCTGAACCTAGGCTGACACGGAGCCCAAGCTTCGGCGTAGCGAGTCAAATAGCTGTGTTGTCATTGCTGACTTTCGGGGCGAGCACATCTGACCCAGCCATGGGTTTCTAGAGTGGCGCAGCGAAGATAAGTCTCTTGCAAGAACGAATGGTTGCACCATGTTGCCAGCAGACATGAGAAGTACCTGCCTTAGCAAAACGACTTAGCAACACAACCTGGCCATTAGCACGCGCCTTCCTCCCGATTTGACCTATACATTCGCCTGAGCGAAACAAACTGGCGCATACCTACATCACTGCGAAGGATTAGAGGTGGGTTCGTTGCGATGTGCGACGAGCTGTCAATGTTTGCGATAAGACAAGGCTGGCGCGTGGCTGGGTTCGGGCATTTCAGCCAATGGCGCAATGCACACATGAGGTCATCGCCCCCTTTGATCAACTCTTCACCATCACGCACTTTACCTTGATCTTTGAACCACTGCAAACAAGAAAAGGTGGCGATCTGCTTCGGAATCTCTTACAAAACTGCATGTACGCATGCTGTTAGCACAGGTAGATCGATACGCATATACACTCGACCAGTTACTGGATCACTACTTTACCAGCGATGAGGATCATTAGCCTGCTGCTCACGGTATAGGTTTGCATGACAGTGGACGTATTTTTCCTGGAGTGTATCCGCCAGGCTCCTTTGCCTGAACTTCAAATTTCCATCAATCTTGATCCCCACGATTTACGATCCCCTCGATGCTACCTAGGAAATATGATATAGGGATAGGACAGCGTAGTTCAACATCCATATGAGTAGCCAAGATGACCTGATCTTGTTTACAGAATCCGCATGGTCTATTGCTAAGATCAAACAGACACGAAAGGCCACAGCAACTATTTACCATACCTACTATCTACGGATTACCACAATGTGTGAACTACCACATCATGCAAAACACGACTCCGTCTAGCTCACCACACATGAACTTAGTCTTCAAGCTACACCAGTGGCTCTGTGTCCGTCAATTCACTAGTGAACGTGAACTTTATGTGCTGGTTGTAGGTTCTTGGAATCTCCTTCTAGACTCATTCAACACACCCGCACCTTCTTCGACACGAACCGCAATTTCTCCAATGGTAACATCTTGGTAGTGTACTCACTTTCCCACACCACGCTGACATCCTTTAGCATCTTATCAATATGGCAACACGGCCACTCGCTTTCAGCGACTTCATGCGCCGTTGTTTCAGGCCATGCAGCGAGCGCGATCCATCCGATAAAGCTCACTGTCCGATATGTACCGAGGAGTACGATCGTGGTATTCATCAGGCGATCCGCATCGTAGTGCAGCCGCCCGCTCAGTGCAACCACGAGTTCTGTCGCCATTGTCTCGAGAAGATCTTCTCCCGTCGCAAAACCCAAGGAACCGCGAACCTTTGTCCGCTGTGTCGCACTAGATGGTTTCAAGCAGAGTACCAGGACGTATCGGCCCGCAATCAGAGCTTGGAAAACCAGGCAAATAATGCGCCTCTCACCCAAGATTCCGCGTCTCGACAACCTGCAACCTCGAATGAAGAGCATCTCAGAAGGCCTGTAACAGTACCACCCTCTCAGCGTGAGGCACGGCCATACATCCGCAATAGTCGACCGTTTGCGCCTGTAGCTCGACCACATGCGCCATCAAGATCACACCACGGTCAGAAACCTACGACTCAATTCTCTGGGGGGTTTCCCTTCTCCGGGGGGGTTCCTTTCTCTGGCGGGTTTCCCTTCTTCGGGACGTTTCCCTTCTCCGAGGGGTCTCCCTTCGCTAATGGGTTTCCCTTCTCCGGGACGTCTCCCTTTGGTCAGCAAGCTGCCCCAGTAACAAGCGCCCCAAACACGTCACAACAGCCGAACGGTAGGCCAACGAACAGACGGCCTGCGCCCGGAACAAGCGATCAGCCTCCAAGTAAGAGAGGTATTATGGGTGGAAGTGGATCAAGTAAGAAAGTACCGTCACCTCGTCCTAGAGAAGCCGAGCTTCAACGCCGTACATCAGCCCTGGATGCTCGTGAGAGAGATCTAGCACAACGCGAACTACGCGTCGAGAGGGATCGCCAAGAACTGCAGCGGCGACAACGGGAGTTTAACGCTATGACTGAGCATGCGCGAGCGTATCGGCGTAATCCAGACGCGAATGTGTAGCTTTTACAGAAAACTGTGAGACTCAACACAGGAAAGTGGCTGCAGGATTGTGTTGCGAAAATTGGTTGAGAGAGGTTGGGCGTGGAACAGCGTGAACAAGAATGGAGACATGTGCGGAAGAGTCAGAGAGGGATCCAGTCGCGTGAACTAGTCGTACTCTATTACCATAGCACGGTTGATGGCAGCCCGATGCAGCAAGCAAGTTACCTCCTTAGCACCTCATAGACTCGACTCTGGCGTGGGTTATATCTGCCAGCCAAAATTGCCATGACCCCAGATGAGTGCAGGATACATTACTACGGCATACATCTATCGATTCGCATACCGATAGCGCTCTCTCTTCCCTCCCCATGGTGTTTGCAAGTTTCCGTCCCAAGCTTTCATGAGTGCCTTTCTCTTGCAGTCCTAACAGCTCTTCTGAGCTCATGTCGCCGGGTCCGATACCTCGACAATCGGCGAGAAACATCCCGGAGCTGACGAAGCGAGTGGAGGGAGGTTAACAGATCCTTCATGAACCCGTTTATACTCCAAATAATGGATACTAAAATTTGTTTGCCTTCGATGCAGCAAGTTGAAGTGGTCGATATAACTTTGATCGTCCGCTAGAGTGGCGTGCGTAGGGGATGTTGAGGCTGCTGCACCGACTGTATCACAGTGAAGACCGAAATGCAGTGAGTGCCCGCTTGATAACACTCAGATTGTCTTGTCGTTCCGACGCAGATATCTAGGCAGCCAGATAGAGACAAGACAACACAAGTGGCTGATTATCTGGGCATACAAAGGAACAACTGGCGAAGAGAACAGTAGTAGACACAGAGAACAGAATTTTGCTTTGACTCACAAACACACGTTCTGGGGGATCACAGTGAGGTTTCTTAGACATGCCATTGTGACCAGAATAGGGCCATTGGGACAATGCGACGAGCTAATGGCTGTTGGCTTTGGATAGTCTCGCAGCTTCATGCCCTTGCCGAGATGTTATGTTACCGTTACCGAGCTTCATAACGCCAAAAAAGCAGCCGTGACGCTGGAGTCAGAGTGATGAAGTGAAATTATCAATGATCACTTCGTGAGACATTTTGCACAGTGGCTGTGTTCTGGCAGAGTACATTAGTGACTGATACTTTCGAGGCTAGCACGGAACCGACCTAGTCTTATCGCTTGCATTCTATCCCTGCAGGCACAATGTCGATCGCATTCAACTTTTGGCGTCTGTTAGGTGAATCCAGAGAAAGCACAACGACATCAGAGACAGCGTTTGACAATTATCACACTCATCTTCTGGAAGCTTTGAATTGTCCATTTCTCGAAAAATGGCGGATCCGACGGCCAACCCAGACGTTGCACCTACCACACAGCCAGAATCATCAAACTCAGCATCGTCACAACCCCCCATTGCAGAGCCAACGCCCACTTCCTCGTCGTCAACAGCACCACCTCAGGCATGTGCGCAATGTGGAAAGTCCCCGGACTCGCTTAAGCAGTGCATCAAGTGCCATAGTGTTACTTACTGCAATAAAGACTGCCAAAAGGCGCATTTTAAGGCGCACAAGAAAGCGTGCCCCATCCTTGCGCAGGAGTATGTGAAATTACACGAGCCGAAGATGGCGTCAAAGTCTAGTGCAAGTACGGCTGGAGGAAGAGAGAGGGGACTGCAGAAGTGGCAAGTACGTTATACCGCGTCTCATTTCCATGTTAAGGTTGGTGCTAATGTGGATAGTTTGATACTTGAATCTATGTCGACACAGTGGTGGCGTAGCAATTCGAGAGAAGTGCCTGGATGAAAAAAGAGCTGGACTAATGAGGAAAGACGGAGGGAACCCCTGAGAACAAGTCATAACAAGCTGCTGCACCACAGCTCACTGTGGGCTGTTGTAGTTTACAAGTGCAAACAGCTTGGCATGGTGTTTACGCTTCTCCGGCCGATTCTCTCATGCAGGCGGGTGAACAAGCAAGGTGGTTCGCTAGATGGTCCTTGTGAGAAATGTCTTGCAGCAGATGCACAAGTGGATCGGTCGCACATTTGATAGCGAACTTTTACGTTTGTAAACCAAGACTGGGATCAAACGATTAAACCCTGAATGCAGTGGCGGCAAGATCGAAATGTGCGCAAACGGAAGATCCCGTGACGAGCAGTACAGCGCTGATCATTAACCAAAGACGCATCCAGCTAAAAAGAAGTTTTCCAACGCTGTCAACCAAAAATGCGCTCGCTAGGCAGAGTTGAGAGACATCTCGATGGAAGCCTAGACTCGCATGACACCTATCCTTGTAGGGCAAAGCGTGTCGCGGCAGCTGAGTGTGGCTGTTTTGTGTGACTGCGGGTAGATAGCTTTGGCTTGTCAGACTATGCGCAGGGAAAGCCAAGGGAGTAGGGACACACGCGCAGTAAGGTCGCACCAAAACGTATGATGAGTGATATTGTGAGCATGGGTTGTGGGGCTGCTTGGGGTTTCTTCAGTTTGCCGACTAGTTGGGCAGAGTCAAAGACAGGCTGCAGTCTTATAGCGCAACGACAGTGCCGCAGTCAGGAAGGTAAGCGCCGTATTCGTGTACACTGGCACGACTGGGTCCCCACGGGAGGCGTGCGTTCAATTCGTATCAAGCAGCTTCAGGACTAGCCGGGCTTGTCGTACAGGAAGGACATGATAGACGTCGGTGGAAACAATCAACGGCACCACAAAGACCGATGGACAGACAGGCTTGACGGTGACCATGTATGCAGGGAGAACCACGCGCGGTCAGGCCATTCTGCTGGTGTGAATTGTTTGTGGCCGAGGTCTAGATCTCTGCTGATGAGACCCTGGTCCCCCAAAACACGCTAGTATCAACCGCAGCGAACATCGGGTATTCACTCCGCGAACCCAACCTAGCCCACCACCACCTAGTCCACTCGCTGCGTTGGCCTGGTGTGCTGCTGTTGCTTTCAAGTCTTGGAGCCAGCAACAGTCTCCCCCAGGCCTCCATTCACTCGTTTACCGCCAGCCCCTACTACCTGTCAATACTTCCACGCGGCCGTTACTGCCGCCGCGGCGCTACCGCGTTTGTACCTGGACGCCAGATCTTTCAGCCACGTCTCCGTGCGTCTGTTCATCCCACTTACCCAACACGTAGCGTGATTGTTCGCGTTACCGGCAAACATCTTAGACCTCGTTGGCCATGATGGCGGATCCCCAGTCTCCTTCACATCTTACACAGCAATTTCATGCTGAGACTGCCCCTCCTCACTTTCAGCAACCCTCCCACGAAGCGCTCCAGCCCAACTCTATCCCACCCACGCCGGATGAAGGCATAGATGCGGGTCCCTGCCCCGACATAGCGGTTCCCAACGACATCTCTTCGTTTCTCGACGCTTCTCTGCCGCAGCCTTTCCCGCAGCCTTCCGCCTTACCCCAGCCTCTTAGGACTCCCACCATCGAGGACCGGCCACATCTTGATCTGACCCTCAACCTTCCTCAAACTAACTTCTCGCTTCCCGCGTCCACGGTCCTTAGAAGTACGCACAATCTGCGTCTACCCTCGTTTGATGTACTAGGCATTGCTGCACCCCACCCTGATCGTATCCCAACTCAAGCACATCAGTCTTTTTCTCCACTAGGCGCTGGACCTCTCTCGAAGCCAGAGGACCCTCTCCATGCACTCAGCCCACCACTCGACTTCTTCAGTCACGCCAACGGGGCCAGCCATACCCCCGTTACCAGTCCCAAGGCAGCTAGAGCCCGCGTCGGACATCTTGTGTCAACTCACACGCCTCCCTCGGATACGGAGCCGGGGACGATCAGTTGGGGATCCTTTGTGAACGTAGGGACGGCTGGTCTGGGTTCACCTCCTAATTCTGAGCCAGGTGTGTCGCCAAACCTACACAGCACTGCCACTTCGACTGCTCCTCCCCAAGCCCCCATCGTTGTACCGACTCACGACGAGTTTCACGACGAGTTCAGCGACGCGCTTAGAATGGCAGCGTGGATAGAGGAGGCCAAACGCACCATCAGTGAGTACTTCTGACACTCGAGTGATGCGTAGTTTCATGTACTGAGCAGCTTAGTAACTGAATCTGGATGCCTGGACTTGGATTCAGTCAAGATACTATCCCATGCGCTTCCTTGCCCCTCGACATCAGGCCATATTTTTGGTCAGATTATTGCTTCGATCCATGACAGATCGTCAACGCAAACTTCATGGATCAATGTATTCCATGCGCTTCCTGGCCGCTACACGCTGATGGACCTGCCCAAGTCTCCACCATCCACCCCTGGTCCTGCCGTGGGAGGGGATTCATACTTTACCAGCAAAGTTTTCGACAGTGCAGTGGCCATTCCTGATTACCAACTCGATTCAAAACTCCTTCCTCCATCGCCTCGGCCCGTTGTGCCACCTGGAAGCATTAATGTCTCTATCGTAGAGCGATACATCCCGCCTACGAACACGAACGAGTTCTCTGAGATGTTCACGTTTCGGGGCAGATCCTTGTTGTACGACCGCCTGATTGAGCTGTCTAGTAACGATGGTGTCCTTCTCTTCATCTACCCGACTAAAACAGGCGCGAGGACATTCATGCAGCAATACCTTGGACCCATTCTCGACCCGCTTCTACGAACCGTAACGGTGGTCCATGATCTTCACTCTGAGCTAGGCAGGAGTCTAGGTCAAATGAGTTCAGTCAATTATCTGGATGAATACGACCACCTAGAAGCGCAAGTCCGCAAATATTGCGAAGCAATGGTTGAAAGACATGCAAACCCCGACAAAAGGGCGAACTACGAGGTCATACATGCGGCGAAAGAGGAGATCCTGTTGCAACGGTCGGCATGGGCGGACGATTGGTGGATCAAGCAGGAGAAGCCTCGTGTACGGGACGTTATTACCAGGTATTTCAGCAAGTCGAAGAAGCTCCCAAGCTCCGAGATGAGTGCAGCGACTCTGATCCAGGCTGTTCTGGAGGGAGTATCGGAGCGAGACTACCACGACGGTGAGCCCAGCAAAGGCGTAGAAGTTGGTGTCTTCATGGTTAAAAAGACAAAAGCTACTGCCAGGGTGCAGAGAGGAACATGAGGAAGCACATGTGGTGAGAAGATATGAACACTGGGCGTGAGGCAACGGTGTCACGGGTGTACGAAGATTATGATCTCGGGTCGCGATGATCTCAAATTTCGCATAGCATTGCGCGGCGTTAGCGGCATCGATTGAGACCTGTCTGGAACAGCACAAAAGGAAGCAAGTAACATAGTAATGATACCCAGTAATGATCGTCAATCCGTCTTTCTTGGGTGTCTTCAGATTTGACTCCAACACTATCGATCGCCACGACATCCCTACCCTCAATGTGCCAAGCCGCTAGCGCGAAAAACTGCCCTTTGCTCACCTACCGGGTCTCACTTTTGGCTCCAACACCATGTAGACGTGACTCTAGCTGGTACCTAGATAGTACGCACTGTTACAACACTCAAAGAAGTATTTTTCCTAAAAGAGCTTCTTCGCAAAGTGCGGTCACTCATTTCAGGTACGCGCTCTTTTAACGCGTTTTCCCGGCTCTAGCCTCTTTCGTCTGTCAAGAATAGAGTTCAAGATCCGGAAACATCACGGAGAGCTCTGCAATGATCACATACGATCTTTCAACATCTTGTCTTTTCTCTTGAACCTGCTAGAGTGAAACAAGCAATTTTTGTTCAAAGGAGTTATCTGACTTGGATATATTAGCAACCGAGGTATACCCGCCACACGAATCAATCTTGTGATCACTTGACACCCACGGTATCGGCTCGGAAGACTGCGTGAGCGCCGCGTGATCATCAACATGCATGTAAGTTCCACATTTGGATTCTGAAATCAATCTTCCAGTTGTATATTCCGATCGTACAATTTTCGCACTCGATCTTCTCCTCAACGTCCATGGATTACTTTGGCATCACCCTGATATTGTTCACTGATACTTCTGTTAGATCAAAACCCCCCAATCCGCCCTACTCTCTAACCATGAAGTCCTCCTGCATCTGCGGCAAGAAGACGCAGAATACACAGGCGCCGATGGGACGGATCGAAAACGCAAGAAGCCGTCTGGTCTCAACCACATGTTGCGAGATGTAGGTGTTCCATGATGCAAAGTATACTTTCGAACAAGACTGACACACGAAAGGGGCTTGCTTATCTGCAAACCCCAGATTACACGACTTCATCACTCGCTGACCAACATCCCGACCGACCCATGACGCTGTACCGAGGACCAAACAGCCTGTTCCGCGCGCTGGCGCCCAAGTACCGGTTGAACAAGGCAGAGTATCTCCAGTTGTATAACTTGAGGCCTACTACGCAAGTCATGCTAGAGTTGGTCATTGAGGAGGTAATGCTTGACTACTGATTAACCTCTTTCGCGTGCACGATCGCTGACGCTCAGAAAGGCGGGTACGCGTTTTACTGAAGACGAACTACATGACATTCTAGCCATTACTCAACAGGTCTTCGATGAGGAAGAAGGCAATATTCCCGCTGGAGTCGAGAACATGGAGATGCCGAAGATTGCCAACAAGCTGCTGGGTGCCAACAAGAAGAGGAGAAAGGCTAAGAGAAAGGCTTGAACTTGTTCTCAATGAGCAGTAGATGGGCGCTTGCTAAGGACAAACAGTTGGATGAAGGGGTCGGAACCACGTATCATATTCATTAACATTAGTCAACGGTACATCACCATACACGCATACAGCCAAGACAGTTGAAGTTTATGAACATGTGATTGTATGCTACCAACTGGCGGGTATCCATCCACCGCATCCCCATCATGCAACGTAAAAGGACTTGGAAAGATAAAACTACAGAAGCCCGAACCCTGATGCGCCACTCGCCTGAACATAGCAAGCTCAAACCCATACAACGCCGTACCCTCTTTTGTAAGAACATGGCTACAGATACACAAGTCTCCGTGGGGTTGCGACGCATCTAGTCCTTGCTCTTCTTCTTTTTCTTCTTCTCTACCTTCTCGTCACCATCGTCGGCTTTCCGCTTCTTGCTATCCTTGGTCTCCTTTCCGGCCTTCTTTGCCTCCTTGGCAGCCTTCTTCGCTTCCTTGGCCTCGCGCTTTGCGGCTCGCTCGGCTTTTCGTGCCTTCTTGGCCTCTTTCTCCGCCTTCTTCGCTGCCTTGTCACCCTTTGCGGCAGGCTTGTCTTCCGATCCGGAGTCGGATGAATCCTCAGCGCCGTCGGCATCTGCCATCTCCTCGTCACTGTCAACCTCTTGTACGAGCTTCTTGGGTGTACCGTTGGTCTTGGCGGACTTTGACTTCTTGGGTGCAGGCGCATCGGCAGCTGGCTCATCACCAGTGAGACCGTCGGCGTCTGGGTTGTACTTCCGTGCCTCCTTGACCTCCCACTTCTTCTGTCCAAGTGTTGTCTGGTTTGCATTTCCGGCAGGAATGCTCTTGAGCGGTTTACCCTCAAGGGCACGTAGTCTCCTCTCAATGGTGAGACGTGCATCGCGACCGAGCTGGGACTTCTCCTCTTCGGTGGGCTCCTTGGAGGTGTCCTCGGATGAGACGCCCCAGGTGCTGAGGGCGTCGACGCGCAGACCCAAGGCGGACTTGGCAGCGAGCATACGGGCAATCTTGCCCTTGTTCTTTCCAGTAGCTTGGCCAATGAGGGATGCGTGGTAGATGAGCTGGTAACATTAGTACAGGCAAAATACATTGGGGAGGTCAAATACATACACCGTACTTGGGTGTGTCGTGCTTGGTCTTCAGGGCACGGAAGAGGGCCTTCTCAGCACCGAGAATCTGGATGGTAGAACCAGGCGACTTGGCGAGGTTCATAAGGGATCCAGCATGGGCAATGAGGCGCGCACCAACGAGCTCGCCAACCAGAGCTGTCAGGTTAGGAGCGAGGGCCTGCATACGGTTGGACAGGTAGCTGCCGAGGTTTTGACGGTGCTCGGTCAGGTCGACAACCTGCTCGGCAAGAGCAGAGGTCGCCTCCAAATCCTCGTCTGTGATCTCGGTACCCATGGAGATCTCTGCAGCGGCCTTGACAGCCGCCTCAATCTCCTCGGGCAGAATCTCCGAGAGGTCGCTCTCACGCGCGTTGGTTCGGAAACCCATCTTAAGAACAACGCGAGAGTAGGCAAGGTTGTCGTTGAGAACTGCAGCAATAGTCAATAACGTGCTAGTGAAGCGGTGGACGTGGGCGCTGGTGAAACTTACTCTTTGCGAGTTCTGGGAAGTGCCAGCCGTACCATTCCTTGACGCGCATGGCGTAGGTGTTCAGCTGCTTGTCGAGCACATCGAGCGATGCGATGGACTGGATGATCATGGTGTCGACCTTGTCGGGCGAGAAGCGCAACTTGTGTCTCGACAGGGAATGGGCAAGACCAAGCCTGGTCGCGGCCTCCTCGGCGGGGAGTAGGTCGGGAAGGAGCGAGGTCAGGTTTTGGCGGATGGCACGGAATACATCTTGAGTGGAAGAGTCTGACACTGTCTTGAGGGAGAGACCTGGGAGTTGGGCAATCGAGTTGGAGAGCTTGGGGTCGGCAACGGCCACTTGAGACATGTTAGCTGCGACGTTGTATTTGCCGTGTCGGAATATGCGTACAAGTGGCTTTGGTCTCATCCTTGAGATGCTCCAAAAGAGACGACAGCATAGGCGTGACTTTTCCATCGTGGAGCGCAGCGGCCTGCTCGAGAGCGTCGACGGCGCTTCCGAACTTTGCGAACTTCTTGAGCTTGAGCTGCTCGACAATGTCTGACGACTCTTTGCTGTCTGCGCCCAAGAGCTTCTTGTCCTTGGACTTGAGCAGGACATAGCCTGCCGAAGTCTCGGAGAGGATGAAAAGACCCATTTTGCGAGTGGTCGGTCGTGGGGTAGGTCCAATGGCGATCGCGAAACGCAACTACCCTCCGTGGTGAATTTGGACGTGGTGTGGGAAGTCGCGATGGGAGTTGTCGCAAGCTCGAACAGTGCGGAATCCCAGCTCGAACTTTTTCCTGAGCTCGGGCCAACCGCCCAGCGCTAACCCTCGAACGCACAAGCTCCGTTTCTGGTAGCTACAGCAGTGACGAACGCCAGGTACAGGCAAGCGAAAGCGACGCTGCTGGGCCATTGAGCTTGTGAGGGCTGCCATGAACTAGCCACTTCCACCCCCCAAACATTGCCGCACTCCAAATGTCCTCTGGCGGCGAGCGCAAAGTCTCGGGCTCCCTGAGCCGCAGCACAAGGGGCACCGCGCCGCGCCTCGCTGACCTGGGAGAGTCGCCGCGAACACCCATCCTACGAACCATCTCATCCTCCTTCGGCTCGCCTGGCGGCTCCTTCCGTACCGAAGACGAATATGTCGTGATCGAAGTTGGCTCACGCTTCGTGCGCGCCGGCTTTCCCGGCGAGAGCGCCCCGCGATGCACCCTTCCGTTTGGGCCCGACGACCAGCGCAGGGTGGGCGACTACAGGCAGTGGGACCCCCAATATACGCACAAGAGACGAAGGCGGAAGCGGCGTCTGGACTGGGGGCACGAGTACGAGCTCTACCGGACGGACCTGAGCAAGGTCGACTTGGGGCTGGTCGAGGACAAGTTCGAGCGGGCAATGCGAGAGGCGTACGGCAAATACTTCTTGCTCGATACGAAGCCACGTCGCGTGCTACTTGCCATGCCGCCCCGCATGCCGCATGCACTCATGTCGACAGTTCTTGATGTGCTGTTTACGAGCTTCCAAGCCCCGAGCATCACCCTCATGTCCACGCCAGTGCTGTCGACCGTGGCAGCAGGATTACGCTCAGCCTTGGTTGTGGACATTGGCTGGGCCGAGACACTGGTAACCGCAGTCTATGAGTATCGCGAGGTGGCTGAGAGGCGCAGTGTACGAGCAGGCAGGCTGTTGAGCGAGGACATGGCCAAGCTACTCAACGCCGAACTCGACGACGCTGAGCCGGGCCCTACCAAGGCAGACGTATCTTTTGAAGAGGCAGAGGAAGTCCTTACGCGCGTCGGATGGTGCAAGCCTGTCCCTAGGTCAAACCGAAGAACCGTATACTTTCCCGCACGAGAAGCGCCTGTGCTAGAGGAGTTTGAAGACGCCGTCGAGTCACCGCCGCCTACCGTCACCATACCCTTCCCGAAACACACCCCTCCTACTGAACTCACCATATCCTTCGCATCACTAGCCAAGCCCACCGAGAATGCTCTCTTTGCACCAGAGTTAGCCATACACGAGTTCGACGACGAAGACCTCCCGCTGCATCACCTCATATACCGCGCCCTCGTCCAGCTGCCCATAGACGTCCGTCGACTATGCATGTCGCGTATCGTCATCACAGGCGGCGTGTCCAACTTGCCCGGTCTCAAGACACGCATACTGAAGGAGCTGGACGCTCTGGTACAACTCAAGGGCTGGGATCCAGTCAAGAGCTATGGGAAAGCAAGCGCGCGTCGCGAAGAGAAACTCCGAAACCAGAGGGAGGATATGGAGATGCGCCGACAAGAAGGTGAGGATACGTTCCCCTCGTCGCTCGATGCGAATGCACCGCCTGCCCAACTACCCGCAGCACTTCAATCGCCCCAAGAAGATCCTATAGACACGAAGTTTGCTCAGATGGCGATACGTCACGGTCCGCCACCTGCTAGCTTGGTCGGTGGCACCATCAGAGGCGTAGATACGTTAGGTGCGTGGGCAGGTGCAAGTCTGATAGCACAGCAGCGCATCAAGGGCATCGTCGAAGTCGAACGCGAAAAGTATCTCAAAGATGGTTTACAAGGAGCCACAAGAGAGAAGGACGTCTCTGTAATCGCACAGAGGCAGAGCATGGGCCCTGGACTTTCTACCAAGGGCGGAGAGAGAGCTAGCTGGACTCTAGGTGTGTGGGCATGAACCGCGTGCGAACTGTTATTGAGCATACTGTTCCTTTTTGATACCCCTTCAATTGTCTCACTTCTCTGCATCATTGGTCCGTCTTCCTTTCAATACATTTGTCCCTTCAGAGTACGGGACTACCGCTACAGCAGGCGTCTGGCTGCACGTTGCTACCATCAGATACACGGGATCTAAGAAGTCACTGTGACCATATAGGTGTCTGAATATGCATATCCTCATCTCAACAATTCAGTCTGGTATTCAAGCGAGTCAAACATAGCATTGACCGCTCTCTCCTGCAGCTCTCAGCCTTGTTTCGGTCTGCTAAATCGCATGTGGCTAGCTGCCCGCGATCTGACCTAATGGCGACCAGGCCTCCATCTACCTTACGCCGCCTCGCTCTGTCAGTGGTCCTTGGCATTTAGCTTGTAAGGCCATCAGGCATCTCTGAAAGTCCGTAAATCCTCAGGTCCTCAGATCGTAAGGTACTTATTTGTGCAAGCCATCTCCCTAAGCAACGCTTCAATTACGATGATTGGTTATGGCCGAGCGTTATAGACCTCGATGCCCACGCTCGTAAGCTTTCTCGATGTCCTCCTCGTCCTTCCTGCCTTGTGCTTGTTATGGCTACCCGAGATACCAATGGTCCTTCGACTTATACTATTCCTCTACAAGCTTCCGAAGGACTTCCATCTTTACGTCCAGGGACCAATGCTGCTCCGGGTGCTCACGTCCTTCCATATGGAGTTACACACGCACAGGAAGAATACCCAGCTCTGCGCCAAGACTTCGACTTTGTTGACCCCCCGCACGCTCCTCTTGCATCCGCATTTGATGTTGATGCGTTCATAGCAACATTTGATTTCACTGACGCCGGCAATTTAGTCGATTCAAACTCACCTCCACAAAAAGCAACTGCGCAGTCTTGGGCCGACAATCTTGAGGCTGATCCTGGTCCAGTACGACAGTCTGTCACGCAGCTCACAGGAAAAAAGAGGACAATTTCTTTGTCTTTGCCTTTGGACATTGTAAATAAGGTTTGCATATCAGTCCGTACTGAGGAGGCATCACTAATGTTGTTCATTATAGCGGCGAAAAAGCACCCGCAAGTCATTCACATCTCAAATCGAACAGCCGACATCATCGTTCTATGGCCTTCCAGCGGACCAACTTGTGACATCACAACAGTCCCCACATGTCTTGCATACCAATGTTCATTTGTCAAGGTCACAATCAACGCCCTCAACCATGACAGAAGAGGTTCAGAAATCCAAGCGCAGCTTACAATGTGCATTCCGGAAAGCTCAGGCAAAACTAGGTTTGCCTTATACATGTACAGCAGCCCCAGTTACTACGGTATCTGCAGTCCGAACGCATTTAACCCGTAGGTTACCCAAAGGAAGGCCTCCGCACTTACCCTTCCTCAAGCTTTGCACAACCTGTAACGAAGACTTACTGGACGAGCACGAATTCGAGGCTTACCATGCCAAAGACGGTCTCAAATGCGAGACCCCACGGCAACAGCGCAAGGGCGATGCGGGGCAACAGGAGCAGTATGATATCTTGTGCTCCAAAGTGGAGACCTACATCATCACTCAAGGAAACCAAAGAAGTGCAACAAACTCCACCACAGCCGAAATCGACGATAGGTTGTTGAGCTCAATGCCAATTTTACATGATCCAGACCTTACTCCAGAGCTCCCTGTGTCGACTCAGGCTTCAGATACAGTAGCTGAGCCTCCTAGCTCACCGCTTCAATGCAAAACGTCTTCATACTCACGCAAGGCAAAAGACAACGTAAGTACTTGAAAGCTTACTTGCCATTGCACTCTGACCGACATTAGTAGCCTCTAGAGGAAGGCCAAAAGCCACCGCTGTTCATGGAGCCTGACTTATGCATGGCCGATAGTCATAGTGGCACCGATGGCAGCGTGATAATAGCAGCGTATCAACACATATCCAACAACGTGGATGGGTCCATGGATGAACCTACGCTGCCCGAACGTCCTGGCGTAGGTTTCGCAACATGTGGATGTACCTCATCCCACGGCATAGATTCGGACGTAGGACGCACCGTCAGCATGGAATCAACCATGGACATTGAATCTATGTCGTGGAATGAGATACATTCACATGTTGCGACGCTGCATGAACCGAGCTGGAATCCGTTGTCCCTATCTCATAGATCTCCACATCCCGCCCAATTCTTCGATCACCCAACGTTCGAGATACGGCTGGCAACGCCACCAGCACGGCTCGTTCCTTCAGTGTCTTTCAGCGAAGACTCGTGGGATTCATCTATACAATCCACAACAGCATTGCAGTCAGAACACAGTACGACGTCCTCTTCGACTGACCCGCCTGAGTCTCATTGCGACATAGAAGGCTGCTCTACCGTATTCAGTGGTGTTCACCGTAAGGGCAACTTATCAAGACACAAGCGACTCAAACATTCAGATAGAGTCTATGTTTGTGAAGATGCATCATGCGGCAGAGTATTCAATCGGCAAGACGCCCGACTTAAGCACTATAGGAAGTATCACCTACAATTAGCTTCGCCGTATCTGGCTCGCCCTCAGCCAAGGCAATCGAACAGAGAGCGATATCCAGATCTTTGAAGCTCAAATTGGGGATGATTCGCTTGTACATAACTGTGCCTCTTAGTTGTATAATATCTTATTTCTGTACACGAAAACTTGTGTCCTTGTCAATATCACTAAACATCATAAGCCTATGTGTTGATTCGAACTTCTTCAGTGCTCGAAAGTGATCTTATCTTGTATAAACTTCGGTAATCGTAGGCATCAAGGAACTCAGCGAGCTCTATACTCTGCTCCAATATACACATGCTCAACGCCTACCTACACTTTCCAACATGAGTTAACTCTTCACGTGTTTCTTGTGACTGTTTCTGTCGTTATGGAACACATTTCGTAAATGCTATTACGATACCCTTGCACATGCATCCTTTAGACTCTAATACATGAATCAGGCTAGACTAAATTTGTAATCAAGCTGCTTGCCAGAATTGAGTCTTCCTGTAGGTATCGTATAACAGTAGCCAGGGAGCAACAATGATCTTAAGGTTATCGAAATAACAGGATTGTATGAAAACCACATTTTTTGCACAGTAAGAAGTGTTCCAAGTATGACAGACGTGGAAGATATGTTGCTTTCCCTGCTCTGGAAAGCATACCCACTTCTGTAACGACATTATCGTGTTATTCCGAGCTGTGTGTCAACATTGTTCATCATCCTTGTCTAGTTGGAACGTGCCATCCAAATACCACATCTTCGTCATATACCCATCCTCACTCATCTCGTCCGTCCAAACAACATCACAAACTGCTTCAAACTATCAGCCAACTGCACCGTACCACAGTGACTAGATTTCTAACCTATTGGTCTACCTCCGCTATCACTAGACTTGAAATTTGTCATTGTCATGCTCAAGATTCTCCTGTAAGTCGAAGGAAGGGTCGTTGCCCCATGTCCGCTTCTGCGCAGATGGTACAGATGAAGATTCACCAGCGCTACTGGCAGAGATAGAACTAGAGCTAGAACTGAGGTAGGACGTCAAGAGCGCGATTTCAATGACCTGGTATGATCCTTGACTGATATGTGAATAATCTGGTACGACTGGGGTTAGTTGAGAACACGCAACAAATGTGAATAGTATAGTTTTGATACGTGGAGGAGACAAAGAGAGGGAAGGTCGATAGAGAAGGAGTTTGCGAGAAAGTACACCATGTCAACCTCATCAAACGAAACAGGGAAGTAGTGATGAAGATGGCATGATTGTTACCATAGGAGCACGACACAACATAGTATAGAGAGGAAACATGATTCAATCCTCGCAACAGCACCAAGATTCTTTGGTGTCATGATTTCTCTCTTGGATCATTTCATTTCATTAAGCGGTAGGGTCTCAATCAACCTCTTTCCCGCGAGCTCATGTATCAACCATCCTAGTTCCGGATGTTCCCCCGAATGGAGTCATCACCACCGTTGTTGTTGATATAAGTCTGATTCCTCTCTTCAGGTGCGCCGACACCTCCGTGAGCAAAGTCACCCGCCTTGGTTGGTTGACCGTTGGCCTTGATGGAACCACCCTCGTCGAGCGGGATCTCGCGGTTGTTGCCAGCGCCGCTGGCAGCGGAGCCGTATTTTACTTCTGCGCCGGGGAACTTGCCCTCTACGTTTGCGGTGTCGACGCCGGATTCGGTGGCTGTGAAAGAGTAGAGTTAGTCGGTGGTTTTGTGCGATGGATTAATAAAGAGACATACTGGAAAGACCAACGTTGTGGCCCTTGGTAGCGCTATCGCTGCTGAGATCCTGCTCAGCCTTCTTGGCGATCTCGTTGACGTTGGTGTTCTTATATTCGGCAGACATTGTGATGTGTATAGGTTGAAGTAGTTTGGAAGGTTGTTGGTGAAGTGTGTACTGAAATCGGAGATATGGGTATCAAAGAAGTTGTGTGTGTGTATGTGATGGAGATACAAGCCGGAAGGACATGTTATAAAGGTTTTTTACCTACTGCTAGCTTTACAGCTCATCGATGATGATGAAAGAGTGGTGGACCCTGATGATGTCACGACGACCTCATAACTGCGGGCCGAGACAGGAAGACCCTTCGCGTTCTGGCAAAGACCTACCGATTAATGAAGGACTGGTAAGCGGGAACTTGAGAATTGTAGGGGCTAGTTGGTAAGTTTGCCGTGGTGGTCGCGTGCTGGTGGGGTGCATTGAAGACATCCAGGTACCAAATCCGAACGATGACGAAACAGATCGTGGAACAAAACACCACACGGTCAAGGAAAACATTTCTGCCAGCACACAATGTTGCATTCGTAACGAAATGCCTACCTAAATACGCCGTCGTTTCTCATAAAGCATGAAGTTCGTCCCTCATCAGCCACTCAAGACTCCCTCCAAACTTCATGCCACAGAAACCATGTCGAAGAACGCTATATAAACGCCATGCTCGCAAAGTGATATATGCGCAGGTATGTAAAGCGAATGAAGCCCATATAACCAATGAAAAGCTTTTGCACATCCCAATATTACTACTCTTCGTACTCTTCGTTCATTCAGCAAATGTCACATGCCTAAGCGGTGACCGCTGTAGCAAACTCTTGCTTGGTCGTTGATGGGAAAGGAAACGTGCGTCGCCCTTCTGTCCATTACTTTCGACCCAGCTATTGACTGCAGTTTGCCTGTTGCTGTGGGTTACAATGCTGGGTTTGAGATGGTTCGCCTAGAAAATCTCGGAATCAAGACTGCTACGGTAGCTCTCTAGAGACTCTTCATCATCTGTCGTACTTGTTAGTAACCTTTCTCAGTCGATACGTCAAGCAACATAAGACTCACCAGCGATAGGCTTCCTGCGAACAACAGTATCCGAGTGTTGCAGCGGACTCTGTGGCTGCGGGCTCTTGCTACCCATGGGCCTGGGACCGGTAACCCTTCGTTGTGGGCTGTCCATGCTAGCCTCAGAGCGGAGGTACTGGCTGCTCGGGCGAGGCGAGGCCGTAGGTGTCATCTTTCGCGTAATGTCAGCATTGTCGGCCATCTTCTGAGGCGTGAGCTGAACTTACGCGATGACCCCGATCGGTTTCAAGTGAGTAACGCACCTCTGCGATAGGTGCAAGCGGTGTCAAAGCGCCTTGGCTACCGAATTCATTCGGAGAGCTGTACATCTGCCTCGTCTGCCCATAGCCGGCAAGCAGCTGTGGCGGCGGGATGAGAGGACCGTCATCCGGGATCTTGGGAGGCCTGGGTGGGCCGGCTTGTTGCTCCGAAGCAGAGTGTTGGCTGTAGCCATCAGACGAAATTGGTGAGAGGTTGCCAGCATTCTGTTGAGCCGAGATACCAGACATCCGGTTTCGCGCAAGCGATGGCATGCTACCCCACTGATCAAAATCTGGAGACCCTATGCTTGAGCGAACAGGATTGTAGATTTGTGCTTGGCTCTCCAGTTGGTTCTGGTGACGACCGGTTGGCCCGGGTCGCGGCTGGGGGTGTTGCAGGTTCAACGAATTGCGATGCGCCTGGTACTTGGGGTCTTCCATCTCGTACTGATGCTCCTCAGGAATGAGAGGCGATGGAGAGCGTAGAGAGCGCGCAGAGCGGACGGACGCCTGATCGTCCCTAGCCAGCGAAGTGTTGGAGCGAAGCCTATCGTCACCATGCTGCTGATACGGCTCGTCATCATCGTAGTAGTCATCCAAAGAAGAAGACCTGGAGTGCGTGGATTGTGGTCGCCTCTCACCAGACACACTGTTGCGCGGCAGACTCTCAGGGTTGGTAGAAGAGGTTGTCTTTGACCATCGAGAGATCTTGGGGATACCGAAGATGGATGATGAGTTGGACTTATGCTTGCGCTTCGGTGTGGTCTCATGGCTTGAGTCTCGTGTCGACTTCGAAGCTTGTGGGGGAGTACCCAAGGATCGACGCTTGTCTGGGAAAGCTTCCTGGGTTGGCGTTGTCATGCGCTCAGTGTTCTCGTATTGGGGATTGCGCTCATCATACTCCTCGTCGCTCTCCTCTCGCACTGTGCTTATACGGTTTGTTGGCACAACGTCAAAGCCAGAGTGAAGATCTTGAATGCGCCGTGAAGAGGAAGGGTTAGAAAAGTAACCCGACTGATCAGGAGAAGGCGCAGTGTTGGCACGACCTTCTGGCTCGTAGCCTGCGTCATCGCTTGCTCGCAGATTCTCGTACGAGTTGAGACTATTCGTCCTCGCTTGTTGGTCCAACGAGAGCTGATTGACTTGCTTCAACCCCTCAACTTCACCGAGCAATTGGACGAGCATTTGCTCGATGTGCTTGATGTCGCCATCGCCCTTGCCAGAGCTTAGTCCCTTCAGAGCACGCCTGAAAACACTCTTCTTCTTGGTCTCAATGTCATCGTCGGAAGATGTGCGATTCATGCGAGGGGGTGTCATGGGCTGAGGGCGAGGGCCACCCAGAATCCTTTGCTCCGCCAAGTTGACTCGCTTGTCAGTGGTATTCATGATCATAGTGTCCTGAGTCTTGATGAACTGCTTCAGATCGTCCAACTGATTGCGCATCTCGGCAGCGCTTCGGACAAGAGTCACCAGGATCTCGGTATCGCGTGCATTACGCTGGGCATCGCGAACGGTGAGGTGGTCCATGAGTGCCACAATGTCTTTCGATTCGATACGATCAATACCTTTGCCGGTAGCTGCGTCGTAAAGAGGTGAAGTCATACCGTGGGAGTTGCCACTAACGTGTCGGTCATGTTTGGCACGAGCAGCAAACATGTCCGGGCTGCCAAGATCCACGCCATTGTACTCATCACCGAAGCCGTCATCATCAAAGATCTTTGAATGATTGCGGTTTTGAGGCGTGTACGCTTCACGTTGGTTAGCCGACTGGTAACCCTCGTCTTTCCAGCCGGTCTGGCCTGACGACAAAGGAGTGCGATTACTCTGCGCATAGCCTGCCTGCTCGTATTGTTGCTCACCTGGATAGGGATGATCATATTCATCTTCTACGGTGGCCTGGTGT